GATATATTCGTATACCTAAAACTCACCCTTTCACGTACAGTTCAGTAGTTTTTGTTCATTCACGAGGTCGTGCAGCTATCCGTCACCACAGTCAGTTTTAGAACATTTTCATCACCCCTTGTGCCTATTAGCAGTGACTCCCCACACTCCCCAACCCCAAGCCCCAGCTCTTGGTAACCAGTATCTACTTGCTGTGTGTGTGTGGATTTGCCCATTCTGGACATTTCACACAGATGGAGTCATACATGTGGTCTTTGTGACAGACCTCTGCTGCTGGCACCGTTTCCTGGTGCATCCGTATTGCAGGGCATTTCAACACTTGATTCCTTTCTGTGGCCAAATACTGCTTCCTTGTAAGAATAGGCCTCCCTTGTTGTCCGTTCACTTGTGTTTGTCTGTTGATTTTTGTTCACCTGTTCATGCCCTCCTTTTCCCTTTCCCACTTTTTTCCAGTTGTTGCTTTCTCCCAAGACCCGGCAGGAGGAGCTCTCCCTCACCACCTCCCGGGGAAGAAAAGGATCAGTTAGAGGTGTGGGCTCCTGTGGTTGACTCTGAGGCTCCTCCCTTGGAGAGCCCCACTCTCCCACCCACCTCCTCTCCATCATGCTGTGGTTTTGCAAGACCTGATGAGGGAATCTCTGCTTCTCAGCCTGTGAGGAGAGTCCTGGGAGGGGACCATGCTGTGCCTTTGGACCCTGGTCAGTTGGAAACAGTTTTGGAAAAGTGAGCTCTGCTCGGAGCTCTGGGTTCTGCTTTGAGGTGGATGAAGGCGATGCGGGCAGTGAGACTTGCTCAGCTGGGGTTAGGCACAGGCTGGTGGGGGAGGCTGGGCAGCTTCCTGTTTTACCATGGCCTCTGCTCAAGTTGGTTCTGTGGAGATTGGTCATAACTCCTCAGGCTTCTTCCATAGGGATAAGACACTGTGCAGATGTTTGTAAGTTAAGCACAAGACCCAGGAGTTGTTGGTTCTGAGCCAAACCCCATATTTACTCTCCTGGAAGCTGATTTCTTTAGATCTTTGTTAATGGGCCCAGGAGCTCAGGTGACTGGTTTGGGGACCGTAGGTGGCAGATTTTAAGCTACCTTATCAGAGATTGCTCCAGCAGAAATGCTTGTGTTTCTGTTGTGTCATTGTATTCCAACTGGCTATGTTTTTGCCGAAGCCCCTGGAGCACTGGTTTCTGGGAGGCTGGCCTCTTGCTACCTCCTTGCATGGACAGTGCGGGGTGTGGGGGGTGTGAATATTTTTTCTCCCACCTCCTTTCTTTTCCTCCGCTCATAACCACTGAATGAGATGGTGCTGTGACTCCTGTCATTGGGGTTTCCTGCCCATCCCGGGACCTCGGTCTGGCTGTATGGGGCCTGAGACATGTGAAATAGCTCGTGGCCGTCCACAGAAAAGAAAGGTTTGGTCACAGCCAAAGGACAGGGAACGGTTCAGGGGGCTTTGTTTTGGGAAAGATACCCTGGACTGTCCCTGCCTCTCTGGTTATAAAGCCGAGATGGACTGTCTTCTCTGCAGGGTTAGCGAGCTCCTTTCTTGTTTGAATCCTTTTCTTCTCCCTTAACAACAGCTCCCTTTCCCCAGGGCTTCAGCCACCTCGTGTCCCTCTGCTGTGTTGCAGGAGGCCGTCTGTTCAGTCCAGTGGGGTGTGGGGGCTTTGTTTTTGCCTGGAGAGAGGGCTCTGGGGATGGAGATGAGAAACAACACGCCTTCCTTCAGACAATGAGGCATCCTGCCCTCCTGCTGCCGTAATTCTCTCCTCTGAGAGCTGGAGCAGGAGGAGACGAGTGCCGCTGGCGTTCTGCTTATCTGCCCGGGCATCTGTGTGCGGTTCTTCTCCATCTCGCCTGCCCCTCCCTCCCCTGGCCCCCACACCCTGTCCGTGGGCTCTTCTGCTACTCGCCTATGCTGTGGGACTGTCATGGCATTTAGTTCAGAGTTGCGGGGCTTTGGCCTGAAATAAAATTCAAGTATTTAAGACTCTTGTTGCAATTGGTGTCTAACAAGCTGTAGCAGTGGAGGAGGGATTGAGGGCTGGCAGTAGTTACTTTCATAAATCATGAATTTATCAGCGTGGAAATAATGGTTCAGAACTGTGCGCGGCAGCGCTCCTGCATTGTGTGTGCAGCTCAAGTTCACCACTGGAGAAAGGATTGTCTTCCAAAGAGGCAGGATCCAGCTCTTCTCACAGTGATGGGCATGAACCTTGTTAGGTGTAATTTACCTGATGCTGCTTCCATCCTTGCAGCCTGTCTGAGGTGCCAGGTGCTGAAAGAGAAATAAAGTTTGTCAACAGGCAGATGCCGAGCCCTGGCTGGGACTCATCTCTCTTCTCTGCCTGCCTCCCCTGGGTCTCTCTTTTATATGATGCAGCAGAGCAAGGCGAGGAGAGAAAACCTACAGAGGCAAATCCAAAATGTCAAAAGAAGTTCATTTAAAAGGGGAAAAAAAGTCTATGCACAGCCCTCACAAAAACCCGACAGATGCTAAGCTAATGGCATCCGCTCTGCCGATTGGTGGGGATGACTCATGAATATTAATGAGTCCAATGCTCCAAATGGTGCAGCTGTGAACCCAGCTGTGCTTGAAGCTCTCTGATCTCGAAACTTCCAGACAGGAGCCGGAGGTGGTCTGTGTCAATTCCCTACTCAGCCAAAAAACAGCAAGCTGGGTCGGCCTTCTTCTGTTCACTCCTTTTCTTCCTGGAGTTGGTGCTCAGCAGCTAGTTCTGTCAGCAGGGTTGGCTGCTGGGATGCAGGAGCCGGTCAGAGACACGGATGCGACTTTTCTGACTCCTGGCTTTTTTAATGGTTCATTATCAGCAATGCATACAGCAGGGCCTCAGTTAATCTAAGGCCAGGCGCCGTCCCGGAACTGCCTTGTGCAGAGTTGAGTGTAGGCCATGGAAGGAGATGTCCTAATGGCGGGAGAGTTTTTCTAGTAACGCGGGCCTAGAGTTACCAGAAGAACAGCAGAGATGGATTTTCCTCTCCGGCTCGGCAGTGCCGCCTGCCTCTCCCCCATCTCGCTCTGTCCCAGTGTGTACATGGATGCTGCCATGGCTGATAGCCTCTGTAGGGAAGATGGGGAGCTACTGGGCCAGTGGCCTGCTGAGCTGTTTTGTAGAATGGAAATTTTTTTTTGTTAGAATTTGGGTTTGAGGTAGGTTCTGTGTCTGACTTACAGTCACCATACTAATTTTTTTTTTTTTGCCTATGCCACTTAGCATGTGGGATCTTAGTTACCTGAGCAGGGATTGAACCCTTGCCCCCTAGAGTAAAAAAACAGAATCCTAATCATTAGACCATCAGGGAAGCCCCTTGTCATCTTTCTTCTGACAGTTACTTATGTGGCCCAAGTCTAGTCATCTCCTGTAATATAGAATAAGTGATCCCGAAGTCATAGATTCCCTTTTGTTTGGTGGGAGGATGTGTGTGTGTGTGTGTGTGTGTGTGTGTGTGTGTGTGTGTAGGAGGAGGTGGGTTTTCTTGTGTGAAAATGAGTTTCATACACATTTATTTGACCACGGTGCCCAGTGAGGAGGGGGCAGGGCAAGTATCACCCTCATTTTCTAGCTGAGGAAACAGCTGATCATGGTTTTTTATTTTTTAATTTTTTTTTTTATCATGGTTTTTAAAAAGCATGTTTCGGGTAGAACATATTCATTTAAGAGATACTTCCCAACTTCTGTAAAACAAGATTTTTTTTTCCCCAAAAAAAAAATCTTGAAAAAAAAAGCTGGGGACTTCCTTGGTGGTCCAGTGGCTGAGACTCCATGCTCCCAAAGCAGGGGGCCCAGGTTCGAATCCACATACTGCAACTAAGAGTTTGCATGCTGCAACTAAAGATCTTACATGCAGCAATGAAGATGGAAGATCCTGTGTGCGGCAACTAAGACGTGGTACGGCCAAAAAAAGGGATAACTAAGTCCCCCACTGTTCAAGGAAAAAAAAAAATTTCCCCACATAGCTTTTCAGAGTTGTTCTCAGAAATCCTCCACAGTCCGAGGTTTGCTCACCACTAAGGCCTTAGAGCTACACTGCTGAGTCCCAGGTGCCTCGTATCCGCTCCCATAGCTTTGCTTAGGAGGTGATTGTGACTTTAGTGGTCTGACTGGACAGTAAGTTTAGCTCCATGTTTGTGAATTTGTTTACATTAAGGGTTCAATCCCTGGTCAGGAGTGGGGAGGGCAGTGGGCTGGGAGGATGCGAGGTTGGAGGAAGGAATGGAAACAGCCCAGCTCCTGGCCTGCCTCACAGGGACCACAGGGACATCCCACTGGGGGCTGGAGTGGCTTCTGATTTACGTGTGAGTAGCCAACTGAGGTACGGCTGAAACCAAGCTGAAGACCACTGCAGTGCAAGCTCGGGACGCCTGGACACTGGCCCTCAGCCACCTCCCCGGGCGGCCTTCCGCCAACAGGGACCCGGCTCTGTAGGGGGACTGTCATCTGGCTGAAGGTAACCTCTCTGAGCTGTGGGTGAGGGTCCCTCTTCCTGCTCTGTTTACAGCTGTACCTTCTTTCCTGAGGGTTTTTCCAATCTGCTGTGAAAACCCCCCGCCCCCACCACATTCTCTCATCTTCATCCTGCCCCAGCTCTTCTGAGGAACCGTTGTCAACTGCTACAGTGACCAGGTGTGCATTGGGCTTACCAGCAGGGCAGCAGAAGTAACCTATAGAGGACAACCACTTCCACCTCAGTCGTGGCTGGATTTGGAGCTAGAAGGCTGGAACCTCAAACCTCAAGATAAATAAACTTGGACCATTTATGTTCAAAAGGATAAAAAGTGCCACATTTTTAGGAGACCGTGCATCTGACCCAGTGAGCAGAGTCAGTTTACTTCCTTTCTGTTCCGGGGAGACCTGGTCTACTTCCACCAGCAGAAGAGGAGGAAAACAAGGGTACTGACAGCAGTGAGGGAGATGTGAATCTTTTTTTTTTTTAATTGTGTTTATTTATTTATTTACTATTGGCTACTCCAGGTCTTAGTTGCCACATGTGGGATCTAGTTCCCTCACCAGGAATTGAACCTGGGCCCCCTGCATTGTAAACACGAAGTCTCAGCCACTAGACCAGCAGGCAAGTCTCAGGAGGTGTGAATCTTAAGTAGAGAGATGGTGAAGCGACTGTGAGAATGAAAGGACCACCCAAAAGTCTTCAAGGGCTTCTCCCCTGGAAGGGCAGGAACACGAGATGCTTCTGTGATCTGTGGATTAACATTTCTTACCTGCGGCTGTCAAGTCCTTCCTTCCGGTTTCCAGCCTGCTAGACTTTTTCTTTCAAACAGCCTTTTGAAGGGGCCAGCTAGTTAGAGCCTTTGTGTGTGTGTTTTAAGTGTTTTAGCCTTTTAGGTGCTCTAGCCCTGTGTGTGTCCCTTCCCCTGGTGGCCTGGTTGGCGTGGGAAGCCAGGCCCACCAGCAGCCTGACCTGAATCCCTCTAGCAGAAGGCCAAGGATAGTGAGAGCTTGTGGCGGTTTGTTGGAGGCAATGTAACCTGCCTGCTATAAGCTACAAGGCTTAGATATATTCTACCAATTAGGGCACATCTGTTAGCAACGCCGAAAGGCAGGCACTGTCTCTTTAAGAGCCATCCCACTCCTCTCCTTGAGTGATGAGGGCTGGGAACACAAGGGAGTCAGATGCTGATTAAACAGTCCTACTGCCGAGCTCTGTTAGAAAATTACTGTAATTATGATCTAGTCCCAGCAGAGGGATGAGTTCCAATCCTGCTAATAACCCTTCCAGGTGCCTCAGATTCAGGACCCATGGGAGGCAGTGTGGACAGGGCTCCGGCTGGCCCTTCGGTCTGCCCTCTGCAGTCAGAGACAAAGGTCCTGGACCCTCCGTCTTCTTTTGGCCTCCTGAGAAAGTGATGGGTTTTGGTTGTGTTTTTGTTTTTTTTTTAATTCTTGACAGAGCTCCTGGGAGTCATTCTGTAAGAGAGGACTTTCTCCTAAACTAACACGAAGGACCAGGAAAATCACAGCCTTAAGATGACTGTCCTGACCCCCAGCTCTGCCCAGGACGAGCAGTCGGTACCACACCAGCCCCAGACCAAGTGCAGGGATCCAGCATGGGCCCTTGCACCGCAGCGATTTCTATGCTGGTTGTGAGAACCTGGGATTCTTGCTCTGAAATAGTACACAGGGTTAACATTCAGTCCTGTTTGAGACTTTCAGGGCACCCCTTCTAGGTTTCTGCTACAGAAACAGGAAAAAGGATAGTTACTACAGGACTCACTATGGTGCAGCTCTCTGAATCAGAAAGCACCAGTTTATTCATTCGAAAACATTACTTTTGTGGTGCGGCTCTGCGGCAGTGCAGGTGAGCAGACCTCCATGTTCCACCAGGGGTCGTTTTGTTCCCAGGGCACATCTGACAATGTCTCGAGACACTTCTGTCAGAAGTGGGGGGAGCTGCTAGGGGGATCAGTACTGGCATCTAGTGGGTAGAGGCCAGATGCTGCTGAACATTTAACAGCCCCGCAAACATAAAATTATCTGATCCCAATGTCAGGAGTGCCACGTTGAGAAGCCCTGTATTAACAGAATGAAGCAGTAAGCTCTCAGTCCCTCCCCCTCCCACACCTCCACTGCACTGCTTTGGAGACGTTGAAGAAGTGATCCCAAATCTCCAGATGCCAGGTGCTTTCTTGGAGATGGAACATATTAACGATAGGCTGAGCAGGGTGCCCACCATGGGAGGCATCCAGGAAATGTAGGTGGTGTGCATGTGCCATCGTGCTGATTCAGGGCAGAGCAATGCCCGTGCCTGACTATGGTTCAAAGGGAGGTGTTTGTAGCCTGTTTTCTGTTCCATGATCGCATGTGGGGGATAAAAGGTGCCCAGCTGCTCACCATCAGGCTAAGAGGATCTGCAGTGGAACCAGATGCCTTCTTTGAGGACCTGCACTAGAAACCTCTTGGAACTCACTCCCATCATGGGAGGCAAGGAAGTGGCATGCTATTGCCTGGTGCCACAAAATGCTTCCCTCAGTGGCACTCTGCCAGGTGGTGGGGTGGCAGGCGGTGATGGGCCCCGTGAGGGAGTGAACACACACAGCTGCTGACGGCTGGCCACTGCCATGAGCAGCTTGATGCCAGAGACACCAGGCCTCTCAGAACAGCCTGGGCATCAGGAAATGAGAGCCTAGTTGGCAGGGTTTGCCTAGGGGCCAGGCCTGCAGTGGAGAAATGATGTTGCCAAACACTGTACCAGGAGAACCAGTTCATCTCTCTATCTGCTGTCCACTCCCCTGGTGACTAGATAACCTATTTTGGCATATTTTTAGGGTGAGCACTCATCCCTGTTTATACCTACGATTCTGGCATCCTTATTAGTAATGCCCCTTCATTTTCAAAAAAGTCACTATTTAGAAAATAAATTATATAGTCTATTAATTGTACTTTAGTTTCCTCAAATACTGTAGTTTTTTAGGAATAGGGACGTTATATTTAGAAAGGATTTTGGTACAAAATGGGCTGCATCTTAAAATATATCATTAATTGAATCCCAAGAGTCGCAAAAGGGTAGTCAGTTCATATTAAAAAAAAATCCAAAAACAAAACCATGTTTTCTGAGCAGTTAGTTTTTGATAGGAAAACAGAATTAATTCAAATCCCTTGAAGAAGAAAAATCTCTCTTTAGTTTTAAGTTTCAAACTTCCTGCCCAATCTCTGTAAATTCTAATGGGAAATGAAATAGCTGGGCAGAAGAGAGGGGAAGCAAGGGACTAGGGTAATCCACAAATGAGAAAATTAGTTTGAGTCACTGGGCTGTGTAACAGGGATAATCCTCTATGTAGACGGCTGCTTTTTCTAAAGTCAGCTCTACAGAGTCTGCTGGTGCTCTGGGAATTAGCAAGTCAGTGCCACTCAAGATTTATCCTCCCAGAGTCGCTCCTTGTGGGGAGGCTGCAGGGAGAGCTTCCTTTCGGCCAGAGATTAAAGCGCCTCTGTCCCTGGTATCCAGGAGTTTTGTTCTGAAGATGAGAAGGAGAAAAAGAAAGAACATACGAACATACATTAGTTTATTTTCTTTCTTTCTTGTCTTCCTTTTCTTCAATTCCCTCATTCTCAGACTGATTTATAAAAGCAGGACTGTCCCATTCCCTCCCCCAACACAGAGGCTTTGTGACACCAGCGCATTATTATAATGTGATTGGTGTGGAATGTGGATTTTGGGAATGTGTTACCGGGGTGTCTTGCCACAGCAACAAAACTGGAGTGATTCAATAAGCAGTGCAGCAGACCGCGATTTTCAAAAGTCCCTTATGTCATTTCCTCTTTAACAGCAGATTTTGTGTGATTTTTGTTGTCTTTCACATCTTCAGTTTTGCCATTTGAAAAGACTAACTAATTACATTTAAGGTGGTGCAACTGAGCAAGTGAAAGTGCTTTAAAAAAAAGTTAAGGATAACACTTGAAATCTAGGCTACTCCTTACATATGTGTTTATTCCTTACATAAAGTGAAAGTGGCTCACAGTCCATGGAATTCTTCAGGCCAAAATACTGAAGTGGGCAGCCTATCCCTTCTCCAGGGGATCTGCCCCACCCAGGGATCGAACCAGGGTCTCCTGCACTGCAGGCAGATTCTTTACCAGCTGAGCTATCAAGGTATCTGTTCCTAACAGGAGGGATGACACTGATTTGGTCCCACTTTAAATGGAATCAAAATGTCTGGGTTTAGGGAATGAGACTCAATAGTTCTCCTGTCTTTTCCATTTTTGTTCACCAGAGGGAAAATATATAGTTGGTTTTGAATTAAATGCAGATTTCTAAGAGACAGACCATCATGTTGGAAAATTTAATACTGAGGTAATTGTAAAACAATGTCTATGCTGTTTTGCTATATGGATGACAGAGGAAACACACTGGAAAAATGTATTTTTAATGAAATGTAGCTGAAAGATTGCTTTCAGAGCATTTACTATTCTCAGATATCAAGTTGGATGATGCAGACTGAACTGTACCAATCTCAGGTCAGATTATCCAGTGGATGTTGGTAAATTCTGTTAATTATTATTTATCTGTAAAGATATTTATATAGATATTTATCCATATATAGAGATACAGATATTTATCTGTAAAGGATATCTGTGCGTTTGCTTCTTAAATACAGGATTTCAGCTTTCTTATTTTCTCTTCTTAACATAAAATCAAGGGAGGAAAAAGGTGTCCCCCTTGTGCCTCTCCCCTCTTGAGTTTCACGTGCTAGTGCAGTTAGTGGCTGTTCAGAAGCCATCCTACATATAATGTGGTTAGTTAAGTGTTCTAATGCCCCAGTTATCCAGTTAGTCACAGGCAGTGAGGTGGGGATTTGGTTAGTGGAGTCAAACAGAGAAGCAGTAATCTGATTAACCAGTTGCTTTCTGAGACTGTTGGCTAAATGGTGGCTGTGGAATTGAGCAGATCTGCTAGATGAGGTTTAGCTTCAGGCAGACTGTAGGAATCCACTGCTTTCTCCGTGACAGAGAATGCCCTTTGTTTGAAGATGGTCTTGAACTTGCTGTTTCTTTTCCAGCATGTAACAAGGTCAGAAACGGCCAGCTGGCTATGGACCAGATTCTCAATTAGTCCATTTGTTTCTATCTTTTAGGGCCAGTCTACTTTCTTTTTCCTCTTTTACAGCTAGGATGTGAATGTGGGGCAGTATGTGGAGGTGCCAAAAGACCCTTGTAGTTTGGCAGATGATTCCCTCAGGTCTGCAGGTACAGAGAGGACTATTGCAGCAAGGGGGCTTTGTTTTTTTTTTGGGGGGGGGCTTTGTTTTAAAGGTCATGCCACTGAGTGTCCAGCTATGCAGAGTGAAGCACCTGACCTTGCTCCTTTTTCATACCTCTTCTGATGCTGCCCCGGGTACCTCCTGTTCCTCTTCTGGTTTCTCCTTTTCTGTCTTTCATCATTGAACAGTGGTAGTACAATGGTATTCTCTTCTTTTAGCCACTCAGCCTTGCAGACTTGGGACTCTGAGGATTCTCTACAGAGGAAGCAACTGGGCACAGAGGGGTTTCTGTTTGCTCCTTCTGTTAACCACTTTAGAACAATGCCCATTGTCTTTACCTGTAGGTTGGGATTGGTGCAACTGTTCCTAAAACTGAAGGCAATTGGTTCCCTTTGATTCATCTGCGCATCTGCTGCCACCTAGCGGTTGCTTCTCCTTTGGCACCCTGTGTAAAGTTGAGGGGATGTCATGGGCAGTTCTCTAGTGCCTTTTATCTCTGTCTCTATTTTTTCCTCTCCCAGACCTAAATTGTCCTCTTTTCTTATATCTTTATCCATCACACATACACAAAGCTTCCTTTTGTTTTACTCCTGGGTCAGAAAAATCTGGAAATGAATAGCTGGCATAGGACCTTTTCAGAAACCTGGAATCCACTAACAACATCCCTGTTTGTTCCCAGTTTCTCTCTTTGGTGACATGAAATGGTACCTTATTGCAGGGCTATGAGATGGGCGTGAGGAAGGACACTGCCAATCCAGGACAGCTCTGAATAGGAGCAGCTTTGAAGGTGAAATTTCCTTAGCTGCTCAGTTGCCCATCTCTCAATATTTCTTGTGTAGAGGGTCAGGCATTAATAATAACTAAACTTTATTGAGCAGTTACTATGTGCCAGATGGTGTCCCAGGTATGTTACATTTATTCACTCCTTTAATCTCTTAATGACCCGGTGAGATGGAGTATACCCCTTCTAAGGTGAGGAATTTGTTTCCAGGCTGACTCATCCCAGAGTTTCTTTTTTTTTTTGGCCATCCCACATGGCTTGAGGGATCCTAGTTCCCAAGATCGGGAAACCAGGGATTGAACCTGGGCTGGCAGTGAAAGTGCCGAGTCCTATCCACTGGACTGCTAGGGAATTCCATCAAAGTTATGTTCTTTTCTTTTAAACAAAAATTTTAAAAATTATTATTTACTTATTGGTTGTCCTGGGCCTTCTTTGCTGTGCACTGGCTTTAGCAGTTGCAGCTCGAAAGCTCTAGAGTGCAGGCTCAGTAGTTGTGGCACATAGGCTTAGTTGCTCTGAGGCAAGTGGAATCTTCTGGGACCAGGGATCGAACCGGTGTCCCCAGCACTGCAGAGTGGATGCCCATCCACTAGACCACCAGGGAAACCCTCAAAGTTATGTTCTTAACCATTGTGTTTTGCTGCCTCTTCAAGGCACAGACACCCTGAGTGCTAGGCCCAGGAAACAGGGAAAGGAAACAGTGCTATGTAGACACAGGCCTTCCCCACAGCACTTCCTCAGCCTGCAGGACACAGTGGGGCTGGTAACTGAGGCCCCAAAAGGAACTCTCCAATGTGCTGACTCCAAGGACTTGCTTCTGGCCCTGTCTCATTTCAGACAGAGTGAGCACAAAAGATAAAAATAACCAAGTAGGTGGGCTTTCGTTTTCTCTAGGGCTGTCCCTTCCCATGTTGTTTGGAGATGATAAGAATGCCCAGAGCCAGCATTTTGATACCAGTTTACAAAAAGAAACACAACTCCATCACAGGGCAAAGAACCAAATCAGTTTATTTGTGCTTTTGAAACCAGCCAAAGCAACCAGAAATTTCTTCCTCCAAAGGCTTCCTTCTCTCTCACCTTCTCTGAGACAAGCCTGCGGAAAAGGCAGAGGTGGGTGTGTGGACATGTTTAGCATGCGGTCAGCTGTGCGGGTTTAGTAACAGGTCGTCTGAAGAGGCCTCTGCTCACTTGTCTTACGGTGGGTTACATGTACTGTGCAGGGGTGTCAGGGACTTGGGTCTTTAAAGAGAAGAGTTGGTGGTGGTGGTGGGCTGGCAGGGGTAGGGAGTGGGCTCTTCGTTTCTTCATAAAGGCAGGGTAGAGAGAAGGATGTGTATCCTAAAGGGGGAAACACACATAAATCTGCTTTTATGATTCGAAATGTAGAAGATATAAAAGGGTGTAGAGTAAAAAGTGTCTCCCTCCTACCCTGTCTCACAGCCATGTAGTTTCTCTGTTGTTGGAGGCAAACAGTGTTATCATCATCTTTCTCCTTCTAGTGATATCTCATATAATCTCATACATATAGAAGCAATGAGACTCCCTTTTTTACACAGATGGAGCAAATTCGACCTACCCTTTACTCCTACTTTTTTTTTTTTTACTTACCTACATATCTCAGAATGTATTCCATAGGTGTGGAGCACTTTCTTTTTTTTTCCTTACTGTTGCATAGTATTCAATTTTATGAATTACTACAGTTCCTTGGGGAGGTCTCTATTGAACCTTTAAGTCATTTCCAGTGGTTTGCTATTACAGGTAACCTTGTGTGTATATTATTTTGCCTGTGTGCAAGTGTACCTGTAGGATAAACCCCTAGATGTAGAATTGTTGGGTCAAAGAGAATGAGGAGAAACAAGTTTGTCATTAAATAAATGACAGAGTGAAGTAGGGAGAATTTATTTAGATTTGAAGAGAAATTCCAACTCTTCTGCATTCAGGGCCTAGAAATGGAGTCCTCACTGGGAAAGTCATAAAGTCAGACTTCGAGTGAGAGCCCCGGGCTGGTGCCTCATGATTGTACAAGGGCATTAGAGAGTAAGATCTCTCCTTATGTAATGTCCTAAATGAACAGTTAGGACACTGCTGCTGCACACTAGAGTGGGCCCTGGTCCGAAAGATCCCAAGGCCCATCTGTGTCACTGTCACATGTGTCATCCCTCACCCCCATCAATAAAGGCAGCTCCTGTTTCAGATTGGAAGATGGAGCTAGTGACATCATGCTAGCCTTTGGTGTCCTCCACCACCATCCTAATTCTAATCATATTGTTATCCCACCCGAAGCAGACACTCACTCTGCTGCTTAATGTGGTATAATGTGGTTCTTGCTCATAAAATGCAACCCACAGTCTTTTTGTTTAGCTGCTAAGTCATGTCTGCCTCTTTGCAACCCCATGTTCTATAGCTCCTCTCTCCACGCGATTTCCCAGGCAAGAGTACTGGAGTGGGTTGTGATTTCCTTCTCCACGGGATCCTTCCAACCGAGGGATTGAACCTGTGTATCCTGCATTGGCGGGTGGATTCTTTACTGCAGAACCATCAGGGAAGCCCGTATTCTTTATTATGCTCCACAGGAATCCTTATACTGGATTCGTAATCTTTGTCAGTCATATTGCGATACATGGGCATTTGGGGGAAATGTTGCCCTGGATTTGAGAGCTGTGGATAAAGAAACCCAGATCCATCCTTGTGGCAAACATTCCTAATTGCTCTCCAATATTTATTCTCTCCTTTAAATTTACTAATGCCTCCCTACCACTCCACTTTTAAGCTGGATACAGGTTCTACCTAGAAGAAACTTTCTCTGTAGCTTGGTATGTCTGTATATCCAAGTTCTGACCAATGGGATATAAGCAGAAGTGGTGTGTGCAACATTTGTGAAGTGTCCTTAGGAGGGATGTGCATGTCTCCTTTCTTTCTATCTTTCCTGTTGGGTGGGATACTGTCATGATAGTTGTGAACTGGAGCATCCATGTTGGGCCATAAGGTGACCATGGCAATGTTGACCACATGCAGTGTGGCAAAAAGAGAAGGTACCTGGGACCTGAACACCTTGGATTACTTACCTCCAGATTCTTACGGAAGAGAAAAATAAATTTCTGTGTTAATTAAATCACTGTTATTTTGAGTTTTTTGTCACATGTAACTGAATCTAACCCTGACTGACACAGTCCCCCAGTTTGGGAGAAACAATTACAGACTTAGCTTCTCTCAATGGTAAATTACCGTCACCACTTTTGGAAATGAAGAAGTTCCTTCACTGGCAACTCTCATCCTTCACAGAGAAATGAAGGCATGGCCAACAAATCTATTGGCATGGTTCTGATACCTGGGCTTCATCTTTCTTCCACTTCAAAGGCCGTGGTGAGATACTCCTTTGGAACAATCCCAATGAGGCTGTTCAGTTCTCCGACCCACCAGCCATACATACTATATTCCTGAAAAATGAAAAGAGGACGGTTTCGGTTGGAATGTAGTTATGCTTCTGTTAATCTTATGTAATCTGTTAATGGTCACATGGAGAGTCTGTTGGGTAGTTTCTTTGTTGACACTATCAGTACAACTCATTAACACTCCTGATGGGATTACTAAAAGTTATCTAGGGCTTGCCTGGTGGCTCAGTGGTAAAGAATCTGCCTGCCAAAGCAGGAGACACAGGTTTGATCCCTGATCTGGGAAGATCCCACATGCTTCGGAGCAACTAAGCCCGAGTGCCACAGTTATTGGGCCTGTGCTCTGGAGCCTGGGAGCCTCAACTACTGAGTCCACCTGCCACAATTTCTGAAGCCCGTGTACCCTAGAGCCTGTCTCGTTGCACACTGCAACTGCAGAAACTAGAGAAAAACCTTCACAGCAGCAAGGACCCAGCACAGCCAAAACTAGAGTAAATCAATAGAAATTATTTAAAAAGTAATCTAGAAGAAGCAAACTCTACTTTCCTTTCACCATCTTTCTGTCTACATTGTACATTTAGCACATTTGGTGCCATGGCTGAACCTAAAGAGCATGTCTTTTACCAAGCAGAGTGGAACGGCTTCTTTGGGGAAAGCCGGGCACACCCAAAAATGCCAGAGCACTGAAGTATGCAGGGAGTCAGGTCATAGTTCAAATCAATAATATTTCCCAAGCTTCTTCCATGTGCAAAGTGCTGTTTGAGTTCCCATGAGATGGATGAGAGTCAGAACACTGCCTGCTCCCTGGGAGTTCACAGCATAGAGTAATGGGCTTTGGAGTCAGACAGACTGGGATCTCGTCCCTACTTGGTCATTTAGTAGCCATGTGACCGGAGGGTCTCCTGACTTTAACTTCCTCTTCTGTAAGAGTTGGGATAACATCACCCCTCCCCTCTGTGGTGGGAGACATAAGTGATGCCGCCGAAGTGAAAATAATTCAGTGTCTGATACATAGTAGATGCTCTAAACATTAGATGCCTCCCCTGGAATAGGTGGGAGGTTGTCAAGCACATCAATAATAACAGGCAGGACATGATAGGCAGGGAAGAGGGCAAACAAGAAGAGGATTGAGAGGGTTTAAAAGAAGGGCAGTGCAGGGTTGAGAACAGAGCCCCTGGAGTACAGAAGAGCTTCGCAAAAGCACAGCGGATGAGGGGCATTCCAGAACTACTCCTGTAAGCACTAGGACGTGCTTTCCTTTTGAAGTAAGATATTTAGGACTACATGGGAAGTACAGGTATTCCACTTCAACTGGATCTATCTTTTGCACAGCTGACTGCTGAGATCTAGGGAAAAAAGAAAGAAAACCAAGTTTTTGACACAATAAAATTCTGGGTCAACTGATTATCTTTTTCTTTTAGTGGATCTCCCCTCTTCCAATTCTGCTTCTCCCCTCTCAGCAGCTGACCTCTTTTCTACCTTGAAAGAGAAAAGAGAAGCTATCAGATCCGTCAAACTTCAGCCACCAAAACAGGAACTTACCTGTATTGACAATCACTCTTCTCTTCAATTAAAGTGGAGGAAGCGTCCCACCCCTGGTTATGCACTTGTAACTCTCTGCTTTGTTTCTTAGAGACCAGGTTCTGAGAAGTCTGACATCTGCCTCTAATGTAAATGGCCCCTTCCATCAGCACTGAAGTGTATTCAGGTTTCTTTTGTCTTTGAAAACAATTATTAAATAGTTCCTACCACATGTCGGACTTCCCTGGTGGCTCAGTGGTAAAGTATCCGCCTGCCAATGCAGGAGATGTGAGTTTGATGCCTGGGTCGGGAAGATGCCTTGGAGAAGGAAATGGCAACCCACTCCAATGCCTGGGAAATGCCATGGACAGAGGAGCTTGGCGGGCTACAGTCCACCCGGTTGTAAAAGAGTTGGATACAACTTAGCGACTAAAACACCACCACATGTCTACTTCCTATTTAGACTAGCCTATCAATGCAAACTGCCAATTCACAGTCAAATTTATTGAAAGAATTTATTTCATTTACTGCCCCAACTTCTTGTTTTCTATTCACCCTTTGAGCCACTGTAATGTAAATGCTTCTGCCTTCATCGCTCCACTTAACGTTTCCTATAGCCTCCTTATTGCTCAAATTCTGTGGGTATTTTTCAATCCTTAACTTGATCTCTAGCAGTCCTGCAACTATGGATATTTCTTGAGGTATTTTCTTCTCTTAATTTCTATAATTGTACTCTCCTGGTTTCCCTTCTATCTCTCTGATTGCCTCTTTTCATTCTCATCTTCCTTTATCCCTCCTTTTCATGTGATTTTCCAGGGTTTTGTCCTGGCCTTCTTCCAATCTGATGTGCTTTCCTTGAGCAGTCTTACACACCTCCTGTGTAAATGACACAACAATAGCTCCAGCCAGGATCTAAGGGTTGGAGCCCAAAACCCAAGTGCATATTCCTCAAGCTTCTCAAACTCACTCTGTCCTAAATTTAACCATCATGTTGCCTCTTCCTCTGTTTCCATTTCCAAAGTATCTTTACCACCTGTGTTCTCTGTCTCAGTGAGTGGTACCGTTATGCACTCAATTACTCAAGCCAGAAACCCAAGAGTCATTCCCAATTTCACCCTCTACCAATCAGTCTTCAAGTTCTGTCAGTTCTCTTTCCAAAATATTACTGGACTCCATCCACTTCTCTCCATTCCCATTGGCAAGGGCTTAGAGTCATGTCACTGTACCCTCTCCTGAAGACTACAGAAGCAATATCCAAATTGGTTTCTGTATCTCCATTCTTTTTTTTTTTTTGTATCTCCATTCTTATTCTCCAATCTACTCTTCATTCTGTAACCAGAATCTTTCTAAAAAGCACATTGATAATATCACTGCTTTGCCTAAAACCTTTGGGTTCCTACTGCCTATTGTCAACTTCTTAAAAAGATGGACAAGACCTTGCATGAACTAGTCCCACTCATTGTCATTTATCCCCTAAATCTAGTGAACTCTTAGTAAAACAGAATTTGTCTCTGCTTCTCCCTTGGGCCTCAGGCTCTCACTGTGAAGTCTTTCCTTTGCCTGTTTAGCCTCCACTTCCCCCCCTCCCTTCCAGGGGGCTCACTCCTGAGCAGCCTTCAGATTCCAGCTCCTAACTCTCTCTGGCCTCTCCAGAAACCCCTTGCTACCACTCTGACTGAGTGGGGGCCGCGCTGTGCTCTGCCTCTCCGGAAAAGGATTCAGCACGCTGCCCTGGATCTGCCAGCCTTTGTCTCAGTGCCAGTCACCAGGTGGAAAGTTCTGTGGGAGCAGAGACCTTGATGGTTTGTTTGCTCTTGTATTCCCACACTCAGCATGGTGCCTGGCACAGAATGGGGCCCCCCCAAACCTTGTTAAATGAGGCTATGAAGGGACTTCCCTGGTGGTTAAGATTCCTTGCTCCCAAAGCAGAGGGCACAGGTTTGATCCCTGATTGGAGAACTAAGATCCTACCTGCCTCCTAGCCAGAAAAAAAAAAAAAATGAGATTATGAAGAAATGAAGTGGGGGGCAGTGGGAATTTACACTCTCAGTTGAGCAGATTTAGTTACAACCAACTCCAAGATACTCCCTGGTGACTGGCAGAAAGAGAGCAACTGTCTTTAGAGATAGTTTCCCAAAAGGCTCCCTAAATACCATGAAGATGTTGTAAGAAGTGAGACTACTGAGCTGATCCTAAAAGGAACAGGTAATTAGCATGTAAAAATCCGTCTTAAATAAATGAATGTGTCTGCCTCCCTCTGTCACTGTCTCCACTGCTTCTCATTGCCCCTCTCCCAGGAGGGAGGCCAGCTTCCCCCTACAGCCCGCATTGCTGTATGGGAAATTACCCAGAATTCCTCAGCCTATTCGTGTCAGGACGTTCTAGTTTTATAATTATTATTTTTTGGCCACACCATAAGACTTGTAGGATCTTAGTCACCAACCAGGGATTGAACCCAGGACACAGCAGTGAAAGTTGGAGTACTAACCACTGGACTACCAGGGAACTCCTATGTTAGGACATTTTTAAGCTCCTCTTGATACAAGTTATGTTGCTATTTCCCAGCACTGAAGTTACAGCAGTTTCTGCCTTAAGTTTTCTTACAGTGTTGCCTCACAGCAGCATGTTGCTGCAATGGCCATGTTGACCAGGGTCCTGTTGTGTGGAGGGGAACACATGCGCTGTCCTAGAAATTCTAGCTTTAGCCTTTCTGCTATCTCACTGGAGATAGTGGGCACCATGTTGTCTGACAGTCATTTGACCAGTCAGCTTGCTTACACAGGTGTGAGGTGTGGTCTTCTACCTGCCGGATGCTGCCACCTTCATCACCTGAGGGGCTCAGGGTGGGCATTCTCTCCCCAGGGACCATTCAAGACTTCTGGGTCTGACTCACGCTTGGTAGCATCCTCCTTTAGCTGTAATGCCTGGAGTAGAGCCTGAGCCTGGGAAGGTGCTGCCTGGCAGCTCGAACAGGGCACGAACAGGAGGCAGATGAGGCCCAGCAGGACGCCTGCAAAGGCTGGGCTCCCCGTCAGCGCGCCCTTGCTCCAGGGGAGCACTGACCCTGCCGACCACAGATGTAGTAGTCTCACCACAGTGGTGAGAACTGGGGTGAGTGGAATCAACTCTCTGCCCTTCAAAACAAAAAAGCAGGCAGAAGTGTAAGGAGGATAGCACAGTCTCTGAGACCACATGCATCCTGCTGTGGGAGCCTAGGAGTTTAATCAAAGCACCTACAGGTCTTGGGATCTGACTGTCTTTTCCAGATTTCATCCCTTGGCTGGATACCCAAAAAAGGCTGCAGGGCTGAGATGTTTAAAGCATGAATGGAAAATTTCTAGCCTTCTCTTCTTCTATCACTGCCCCCCACTCCCATGCATTGCTCCAGCCCAGTCTGAACACCACGAGGTATTTTAAAATAATTTCTACTTTGATGAATTGCTGGGGAGTCCACAATTGCTCATAATCAAAGGGAGAAAAATGCAAATGAGATCCGGCCGAGAACTATCACCACCAAACGTTTATTTCACTGCACAGTGCCAAAAAGAATTAAAACAACATTAAACTCACAGCAATCATGTTTAAGCCCTCGTTTCCAAGTGCCAAATTGCACCGCTCTGGATCATACAGATGTTCGTTAATTATGCTAATTTTTATTAAACTATTAAAATGGAGAGAGTACTGGCTCAGTCAGGCAGACCCCAGCTCTGAATGAACTCTGCTCTTGTCTAGAGGTGCTAATTTACTGCATTTTTATTAAGTTGCTGATTCTTGGATTTTAGTTTTGGGATGGCAGAGATAACTGAATTCTTGGGATCAACATTTTCAATAAAGTTTGACTTCTTTTTGCCCAGATGTTTGGAAGGACTGACTGGAAAAATGCCTGAGTTGGTCCCGGGAGACCTGAAATCTTTAATGCAGAAATGTCTCTACCTTTAATCAAGGGTGGGGGTGGGGTGGGATGCATACCTACCAGTGACAGTGTTAGGGAATCAGAATTATAAAGGCTCCCCACTCTGTAACTCTCTATACACTGTGTGTGGTAGAGCTAAGACATTAATTATACAAAATGGTTAATTGAAGATGCTTTGGATAAGAATATGAAAAGCTATTTAAAAAACAAACCTTTTACATCAGTGCTTGCTTCTTGCCACAAAATCTTTTAAGAAGCCACTCAATGTGGTTTGTTCTCATCATAAATATTTCTAGGCATGATTAAACATCTGTTTGCCTCAACATCAACCCTGCCCCATCTCATTGAGCCTCTCAAATGAAGGAGTCTTAAAAACAAAGCCAGTTATTTGGACTCTGTTAATCTGGTTGGAGAGGCTCTTGGCCTGGATGAGCAGATTATTGGGGGAACCCGAAATAGGCACAGCCTTCACCATCAGCAACAATCAAAAGTGTTTATGAAGGCTTGCACACCACAATAAAAGGATTTATGCTGCTAATCTCCATCAACAAGGAAAAAAAAAGCCCTACCAAACCTGCCATAAAAAGAACAGCAAATTCTATAAACAAAAAGCAGTATGGCCACCAACCCCGGGCACAGTGCACAGCTTGACGCTGCCTCCAGTGGTTTCCTATTGCTGTTTATGGTTTCAAGACGAACATGGCCTCCTCAGTGCTCCTCCTGTCGCAGGGCCCTGAGTCCCTGTATGGTGCTGCAAATACCCTGTCAGTAGGTGTCAGGGGATGTCAGGGGGAAAACCAGCAGGCGCCTATCATAAGCCTTAAAAGAGATTAAATACCCCTACTCCATGATTGCTCCATTTTAATTTCTCTCCTCCCTGCTGCTTCCTATTTGTATACGCTCTTCCATGGCTCCCCTGGAGTAGCACAGATATGACCTGGAATGACCATCCTGTCTTGGGATGAGAATTCAATTTCTAGGCTCAGTGAATCCTAGGCTGTTCCAGCAAAAGGAAATCACCATCCTCTAGGGTACAGATTCTTAAACTGGAGTCTGTGAACCCCTGGCATGTCTGGATGGACGTGAAGGGATCTTTGAATTCCCTGAAACTGGTGTAAAATTTGTGTGCGTGTGTACATGTGTCTTGTCCCTTGGGTGAGGTCCCAGACTGTTCATCACATTCTCAAAGGGTTATACACCCTCTGCTGTTTTATCAATCAGCATCTTTTCGGCCTGGATCGGCACTTTGGCCCAGTGTGGTCATCTTCCTGCTACCTTCCTCTTTTAAAACACAAAAGGAAAGGAAATCAAGAATCTTGCCATGCTGGGTTTCCAAGGCTTCAGCCTTCCAGTTGCCAAGTCTATTCCTGCTTCAAAGTCTGACCAAGCTTGCTTATCCTTTCTAAGGCCCCATCTCTTTAATGTGACTTAAAAGTTGTGGTGTTTTCTCATAGCTTCCATTCAAATCCACATGATGGCTTTTGGAGCAAGCTGCTTGACACCCTCTGTTCCCCTGAGACTGTTCCTAATGGAAACGTTCTCTTTTCACATTGAATTGAGCTTCAATAAACCTCTGTGGAACAAGATTCCCAGAAAATGTCTCATACTTTTGTTCTTTTAACCATCAAAGTTCACGATATCAGTGCTTGTAAACAAGAGAATTCCTCTTCAAGAGAACAATCAATCAACCCCTAACATGAAAGATCAATAAATGCTTGATATATGTCTAAGAAAGACCAATCAATCACGGAATTATTGGTTTATGATTGCCTATTTCTCTTATTAGTGCTTGTGCATCATACATTATCATTAGTTTAAGAAAGGAAATTTGAATTCCTAAGCAGAGTAGATAGTAATATTCCAAGGTCAGCCAAAAATACCGTATTTTTACTCTGGGTTGGACTGCAATCTCTCTACTGAAATTCAGCTTTGGAAATTTAATGCTTTCTGAGGCTATAAAAAATTGTTAAATAAATTGAGGCCTCTAACTCAGCACCCTTCCAATTGCTGAGAAAAACACCTGTTCACTAGAGACAAACAGGTGCCCGTATTTCAGGACAAATGGTTTTATGAAGAGCTTTTGCTGAAGGAGAAAGGAAGTGGTCAGTTTGGTCGACAGTGGATTAGTGCTGTTGGAACCTGTGAAAGGATCTGAGCCCAATGCTTGGCTGAAACCTTGGGTAGCCTGGTGGCCTCTCCAGGTTGTTTGCTTCACACCGTGTTTTAAGTTCTTGGCAATCGTTTTCTCTTTTTTCTATTATTCAAAGTTTTGGTCTATAAATCATAACAAGAATGAATCATTAAATTTGCCTCAACTGAACTAGTTTTATTTATTGCCATATTTCAGGGAACCTGCTAACCTGGACATTGGTGAGCCTGGATCCTGGGCTGGGGATGGGGGCTTTGAGTATAAGAAAGGGGACATGGAAAGGTGGATGGCCAGTGACGGCAGCTGGGAAGGGAGCACATGGCAACTCCACAAAGCTCACTGTGGCTAAAAGCTGAGAGTTCTGAGAAGTGGAATGTGCCAGCTGGACGGAGGGTCTGAGAGCCTTGAGTCCAGGGGACTATTCAGCTTCAAGTCTGAACTGATGTCCTGAACTGGGTGTGAGTGGATACTGCAAAGTCAGAGCCAGGCAAGGATGCAGGACCTGTGCACAAAGCGGACACAGTGGACACTCGTGGCCATGGGAGTGTGTACAAACACAAGAGTGTGCATGACAGGAAAACCGCAGAGTGAAGAGGGCAGGGGGTACAGGGCTGTGTGGAAGAGAGAAATGAGAGAGAAACACACAACCTGAACTTTGCCTAAAAGAGACAGGAAGGATAAAGGGAAGGTAAACACTGCAGACAGGAGGAAGCAAGGTGCCAAGCGCAGAATTCAGAAACAATAGAGACAGCACCATTGCCGAGCTGATAGAATTGTGATACCATGTGAGACCGGAGTATTAATATGTATTCCATAAACTGTGCAGCTCCCAGCCCCGCACCGTTCTGTTTTGCTCTGACCGCAGTACCAGCCTCAGGCACCACAACACAATTTGGAAACAATGTGACGGAAATGTTTAATCTGCTCGGCCCATCTGTGCTGCGTATTTCTCCAGATCTCCCTGAGAGAGGCGCCTTGAATCTCCACATTGCCTTTAATATTCTCCTAAATCACCTCCCCACTGCACTTCAAGGGCCATTGCTACAATATCACAGGTTCATCTAAAGTGCAATGGGGGTGGAATGGGGGGAGGCGCAGGCCAGGATATTTTTTATTTTAAAATAATTTCCAGAGATCGTCTTTTTTGCTTCCTTTAAAAAAAGAGGAAAAGTTATTTTACTGTTGCCGTAAGGTTATTGAGGTTGTTTGGTGCAAAACAGGGTAGGATAGAGTGGAATCATTCTCCAAAGAATTATTTTTATTAATCTCCATTCTCTCAATTGGACATGTGAAGGGCTGAGCAGATGCTCGTTTTCTCTTCTGTTTTTCTCTTATCACTGCACCTTGCTAGGACGGACGATGTGTTCATTTGGGGCTGGTGCTTCTCTGCTTTTCTCACTGCATCAGGTATTGCTTTGACCCTGCCCTGCTCCAAATAAAGCCATCTTGTTCAGGACAGGTATACATTTAGTCCCTGGTCACCATGCCCTCATCAGAAAGGGACACTGTCTATATTATTAGTTTTAGCTTAAAATCTTAGATTTTCTCTCTATACGTACAGATGTTGAGCATCAGATTTCTGCTGCCTCTCCACTTAATTTTGTCAGATTTCCTGATTTGGGTCTAGAATGTAAGAAGCTGGGGTAGGTTTTGGAGAAAGAGAGGATGACAAGTCACTATGTTCCAGACCTTAGACAAATGGAAGAGTTGCACATCACCAAGAAAATTAGGATTCCTTTTGCTATGTGAATTAAAGAAATGAATAATTTAATCCACAAGATTGTTCCGGCGAGGGAAAGGCAACGTCCCAGTTGCGGAGCCTACAGCCTGTCGGTGTGTTACATCATCTGCACACATAGGCGTTTCCATGACAACCGCTTATAGCTTCATTTCCTGGATCCCTCTAGGGGGTGTCACAGCCAGATCCACCTGCTTTTCACCCTACCCTCGGTGGGGTCATGGTAAGGTCGCCAGAATAAATGAACGCGGGTACTAATGATCTGTTTACTGCTGTTTATGCTCTGTGTGTGTCAGGGGCACGCACATTTAGAGAGCTCATTATGGTTGCAATTAGAATGCACCATCGCTAGATATTTAACTCCTTTTTCTTTTAAATTAGCATTTTAATAACATTCTTTGAGCAGAGAAACAAAATGACCATTTTTCACGGACAAACTTCTAGCTGTAGGTGCAACTTTAATGGCAAAGTTGTGAAGGGGAAAGAAGGGAGAAAAAAAGGCCATTTTTACTACTTTCACCCTCCTCCTTACCAAAAGGATATTTTTATTTGCTTGCTAACACACTCAATTTCCTAAATTTGTTTTGAATCCAATTATTTTGGGTGGTTTAAAGTACCGCACTCTTGTTGGACGGAAATTAGCAGCTATTGAAATTAACTTTCTATGTGACCTGTGAAAGGGGCTAAAATAATTACAAGTGTGTATAAGAAACCCTTCTCTAAAAGACCCTTGCTGCAGGATCAGGCTGTGATCTGATGCTACCATTACCAAATATCTTTATACAGTAATTGCAGGGGCTATTTTCTTTAAAAAGGTGACTGCAGTTACTGTTTTCATTTCATAATTCTTAGGATTATCTTATAGAGGATAAATGATGACAAAAACTTGTCATTGTAAACAGGATAAATCAGAAGCTGAAAGAATGAAAATAATAACACGGCATCATTTGCCATTTAAAAAAGGTGAGAACTTAGATCATTCAAAAACAAGACAAAATAGGAAAGATACAATGTAGAGACCCACTGGATCAGAATGTTCCAATAGGCACTGATTGCTTTTTAGGAATCAGTGAACACCTTTGCTAGGTGTTTACAGATGCTGTTTGTAGAAAGTACAGTGAAAAATAACAATTTGAATGTTTCGATTATCTTTCCCAGTCGGTTCCATTTTCATTATTTATTTCCTATAAATCGGGACCTTGCTGAACATAATTCTGCAGACAAGGAGGTGGATGGGACAGCCAATGTGAACGAAGAGATAGATGGTGGGTGCGTGTAAGATAGATGCTATGCGTTTATGAAAAGGAGCAGTATGTCTGCATGTGAACATTCACGAAGTAGAGCAAGCAAGCGTGTAAACTATAACGGGTATTTATAGGTGGAAAAAGGCGCAAGGAAGACTGTCTGGGAACCAGCACACTGAACTGAAGATGGTTTGCTTTTCTCCTACCCTCCACGTCCAAGTTCTGCCAAGATGTCCAGAGCTCACTGTAGCTCCCGTGAAACCTCACAAGCCTTTCCATGACAACAGATGGGGGATTTCACAGCCAGAAGAAGCAGGAGGTCAATAGTTGAAAAGCAAGAGTTACAAAGAAAGATCTTTATCAACATCAAAACAATCCCACTAAAAAACACCCCTGAAAGATAGAAGGAGCAAAAATTTAAAGACATAGCAGGAGAGAAAAGAAGCCTTTATAAAAATGCAGGTTTAAAATATTTATGCTTTTGTATTAGCCTAGTTGCACCTTAGACTCTGCCATTTCATAAATAAAATACGGATAGCATAGACTATAATTTGGTGATAGCTACCCCAGGACATATCTAGATGCACTTCTGTTATTTTAATTAAATACTGCATTATGGTTTGTGACAACTACATAGCTACAGCGTAAATGAATTTGGAATTAAAGTGTTACTTAGGCATCCAGTAATTTTTGTTTCATTCCTCAGTTTTACAAAGCAAATAGCTATAAAATCAAGATGTTTGTTCATTTACAGATGGAGCAGGATTGTTGTTGCTGTTTTGTTTTTTTTTTCCTTAATCCTCATGCACAAAAAGAAGAGAGAGCTCAGAGTCTGGCTCCCAACACTCTTAGCTATGAGCCACATCACAAAGGAAAATACATCCTCTTGACTAGAATGTGAAATACTGAATATTAATTGCTGGTATTTCGCTTATCTTTCTAGCCGGGTTCTGTCTTTTAACAATTACTCCGATGGGCTGCAATCTTGCACTGCCAGGAGATTTTTCACCTTTGTTTAAGAGTTAGAAATGATTTTATTTTGTTAAAAAAATCTTAAAAGTTCATAATCCTCCTTGGAAGTTTTTAGTATCTGGAACCCTTGCCAAATACAGAATATTAGTGGGAAGAAGAAGATCGCCAAAGCTCTTTGCTGAAAAGATGATGCTCATTTCTGCATCTAAAAGAAAAAATATTTTTCATTCTAGCGGTATTAATATATCCTTAATGAAACTGGAGAGGGTATTACAATTTGATATAATCAGCTGGTCAGTTTAAATGTCACTTCACTAGCGCATAATGAGAAAGGTTCAGAATATTCATCTAACGGGCACAGATTTTAACTCAAAATTATATAGAAGAGTAAAAGGAGTTTTGTTCAAATCTGAGGATTTAACTGTATCTTGATTATGTCATATGCCAAGATTAAAGTTTTTAAATAGTAAGGTTTCTGAAATCATTGTCTATTATTTCTAGTTTTAGAATCAATATAACCTTTATTAGTCTTAAATACCACACGTCTGGCAACATCTGCTAATTCCAGCTTTTCTGTGTTCTGACCGGTTACCTCAAGCCCCCCATAACTAGTCGTATAATGCATAGAAGTTACTGCCCTGTATATTTGTAAGAGGTTATAATTTGCTTCAATATTTTGCTACTTTGTTTGGAGAGCTGGATCCATACACTACCAAGAAACACTGGCAGACAGAGGTTTGGGGAGGCTGAATTCCTTTTGAGAAAATAATTACACAGAAACAAAGCTTTCGTGACTCCTTTTAAATAGAGCATCTCACCAAAATGTCATCCAACCTCTTTGGCAGATTAGTGAGGAGTTGATCACTAAATCTCTGTCTGATAAACGTGCAGCTGACTCTGGAGGAGCTGCTTGTTATACTACTGGCAGTGGGAAATGGAGGGAATGTCACAGTTAAAGACACAAATTTTCCCCATAATATATTCGAGTGGAAACCTCTGAATCCAATACTACATGGGCATATCTAATAAATTCACAATATTTCAGTCTCAACAGCCTTCACCGGTTAGTTTTAAAGATTTATGTGCTAAAAAATTACTCAGTGATGAATATGGTTTATTCTGTGCAGTATTGGAGGTATAAGGAATTAAACTACCGTCTTTAACAGTGAATTTATTATTACCTCTGTCAAAAGACGAAGCCTTTAAACAGCATTTGTTATAAATTCACTGCAAAATAAATGGCTGGAATTTTTTTTTACACTGGAGTTTGTAAAGCATCAGGCGATTCTGAGCATTAACCTAACCCTGTATGGCTTACATGGTTCTAGGTAAACATTTCTGTCTGGGTCTCATGGCTAATTATTGAATTTGGGACTTTCCACCTGACTGAAAGGGGTGTGTGTGTGTGTGTTTGTGTGTGTAGAAAGTGAAGGGTCTTGTCTAGGACAAAAGTTCAGGACTAAGGAGGTTAAAGTGGAAAATGCCAATTTTACTTTTTTTTTTTTAAAAAAAGGGGCTTTATAATAAACGGCCAGGGTTAGGGTTGATAAGCAGTCGGGCCTCTTGCTTGTAGGTTTATATGCATGCATATGCACGCGCACACACACACACTCACTCACAAACACCCTCTCCCTTTGTCCTCTCTTGGAATGGGTGTCCCCTCATTTATAAAAATTACCTGGAAGGAATGAGGCTGCCAGGGTTTGTTCTAGACGATTGGTTCCTGTCTGGGGGAAAGGAATGGCCTCTACTGAATTTGACCGGTGTATGACCGTTGCCTTCCAGCTGACCCCAAATCCCATTCCCATCCTCCCAACTCTATAGCCTCCCACAGGGGTTATTGATGAGAGAAAATACCATCATCATCATCATCTTCGTCATCACAGCACAGTGTCGACCTGCTTGTTAACATGAAATGGGGTGACGGGGACAGCTTCTGCTTCTCTTTTCGTATCATCATAAATAAGAAAAGATCTTTTCCAATGATACCCCTCCTCACTGCCCCCTTTGTTTAGGTCAGAGGTGAATGATAGCTCTTTGGTAGGCATTGATCAGTTTCATCGCTGTGTCTGGGCAGTCTGTGCCCCAGGCCTGTATTCTCGTATTCTCCTCACTTCCTACCCCTGAATTACCTCCCAAATTACCCTGCCTGTCCCCTGCTCAGCCAAGCAGAGGGTAATAGCGCCTGAGGAAGTCCTAAATGGACACTAGATGTCACCAAACACCTCCTTTCCCTCAGAGCCCTGAAATAAAAATTTAAAAAAAAAAGCCTTCATTTAAAGCAATTGAAGGAATTAACTTATCTGTTTTTATGAGGGCTGTTGTCACATTCAACTAAGCACACTTAAAAGAGGAAGTACTGCTACATTCAGATAATTTTTACAACATACAAATCTCTTCTGGAGGAGAGGGGTCAAGGGAGGGGAAAGGTCTACATTCTTTAAGCAGTCCTTTGAGGGAGCAGGTGAAGAAAACTGGGCTTTAAAAATCCCATTATAACAGACATGGTCACGTTAACACAGTCCAGGTGTGGTGGGGCAGGCCTGTTGCATTCAGATAACTAGGTGCTGGGTTTGGAGCCACGATCCAGCCTGAAGTTAAGTAGTTACAACCCAGTGCTGGAAGCTAAATGTCACCCAGGGTGATGAAATTGGTCCATCCTCATCCACATAAGACCTATGGCCACCTGAGAGCATTGTTATGTTCAATATCAAACTTGAACCTGCCTGGAAAGCCCCCCGGTCCCAAAGCAACTCTACCAGCAGAGAAGACAACCAAAGCATGGTGTGTTGGGGTGATGAGAATATCTCTGCACCCTGTCTCAGCACCATGTAAGTATAACCTTTCTTGGCACCCAGTTTGTTGCTCCAAGGCTGCCTTCCATGGTTGAATAAGTAGCAGGAGAAACTCTGGAAGAGCCCAGGGCCATTTCATGAGGCACACCAACATAAGCCCAAGAGATGTAGCCTATCAGCTCTGTTTACCTTAAGTGGAAGACCTCTTTCAGGGACCTCTTCTTCCTTGTCAATTGAGAAAGAGCTCTTCCTCTCTCTCATTTGACCTTATCTGCTGGACAGCTCATGCTACTACTATAAATCACTTCTCGAACAGGAGGCTTAAATTTTAAATGGGTGTTTATTTAAGTTATCTCGAATAGTAGAACAAACCCCTTTATTATTTAGAAGATGGTTCTCTGGTGAGAGACCTTTAAGCCAAGAAGGCAGAGTCACTTCTCTGTAAGCTGCAAACTGTGGCTTGACTCAACCAGAGACCTCTCACTGCCTTTTCTCCCACTTACGATAAATGCCCACAGCAGTGCTGGTCCCAGAAGGGCCTTATGATCCTCAGATAAAAGGAGCCAAGCCAGGGCGTTGTGCTGCTGGCTTGAGGGTGATTCAGCACCTGCCCTGTCATGCCTGGTGCCCAAGCTGAATGGATTTTTGGAGTACACCTGTTGTTGAACCCCTGCCAAGTACTGATGGCCACTAACCCCCAAATCACTTTTCCCCGCTGTTGATGTTTGGAATGTCAGACAGGACTGAGCAGCAGCCGGTGTGTATTTCAAACACAGCAGATGGATTTTTATATTAGCTCCTATTTCATGTTCAGGCAGAGCGACCGCCACACTAAAACCACAGCTTCAGTGCTGCCGCGTTTGCTTCTGTGAGATTAATTCTGTGAAATTAATTGGGACAAGATTGAAAAGGAAATTAAAATGCAGCTGAGTGAACAGGCCTTTCAAACACCTTTTTCCTGCTCTATTCAAACTTGAATTCTGCGGTGGTCGCAGGCATCGTGGGAAGTAATTTACGGGAGGCAGGCTCTCAGGAGCCATCGGTTACGTATGAGGAGACCTGCAGAAGCACCGCAATCTGGAGCCACTGAAGAGCGCTGAACACCCCGCTGTGGCCTGAGCTGCGTCCCTGCATGGGCGGAAGTGGAGTTCGGTCCCCGCGCCAAAAGAGCTGTTCAGAAATATCTGGGTCCAAAACGAATGGATGCACAGCTCTGTTATTAAAATCTCCTTTTAATATATTTGCAACCCAAATTGGAACTCAGTGCATTATGTGGGCATGCAACCTTGGGTCTTAGGAATGGATAGATGTGTTGGGGGAGGCAAGAGGGGTCCTGCTGACTGTGTCTTTGGTTACTGTTTCAGAGCTGGGATAACATGGCTCTGGCCTCTCCTCAAAGAAGTTTGAGCTGTTGACCAATTTTGCCAGTGATGAATTCTCTCAGACCAGGAAAGGCACAGTGCATTTCCATGTAAAGTTTCTTCACTGGATGACCTTCTATTCCCAAGTGAGGACCTTTTGAGCTTTCAAACATCTCTGTGAAGTGTTCTGGGCAGGACAGGATATCTTTTTTTCTCTCTCAATTCACTAATAATTTATTGAACTCCTAATATGGACCCAACATTGACCTCAAAAGTTTTACTCTGTTGTTAATGGAAAAGAGGGGAATATAATCATAGTTATCATCCTAGATACCAGGCACTTCTTTACACAATTCTCTAAAGTATCACAACATCCTTTAAATAGAAATTATCCCAATTTTTACAGACGAGGAAACTGAGGATTAGCAAGATTAAGTGACTTTGTTCAGGGTCCCATAAATAAACCACCTGTTGACAACTTGCTTCTCTAAGGACAGGCAATGGGCATTTGGATACCCAACCAATGAACTTCTCTGAAAAAAAGTTTTTTAAAGGGTAAGTAGTTCTCTTTCTGGGATCATTCCTGCCCAAAAACCCTAGACCCTAACAGACTCTCTTGGCTGGAGGATTCTAGGATTCAGGGTTGGGTCATACTTGGGCAACTATTAAAAAATAGCAAGTGTGGTATATATGTGTATACACACACACAAACACACACTGGGATACTAATCAGTCATAAAAAAGAATGAAATAATGCCATTTGCAGCAACATGGAGGGACTAGAGACTATCAGAGAAGTAAATCAGATAAAGACAAATATTATATCATTTGTATGTGGAACCTGAAAAAATGGTATGTATGAAACAGAAATAGACTCAGACACAGAAAGCAAACTTATGGTTACGAACGAGGAAAGGGAGAGGGAAGGATAAATGAGAAGTTTGGGATTAGCAGATACATACTACTATATATAAAAGAGATAAACAATAAAGTCCTACTGTACGGCACAGAGAACTAAGTTCAATATCTTATAATAAACTATACTGGAAAAGAATCTGAAAAAGAATATATATGTGTAAAACTGAATCACCTTGCTGTACACTAGAAACTAATGCAACGTTGTAAATCAACTACACTTCCAAAAAAAAAAAAAAAAAAACCCAAAGTGGGGAAGAAAAAAGAGAGAGAGAAAGAAGCAGAAGGAAGCAGTAGGAGCCCAAGAATAGTTATTACTCCCCTATTCCCACCCCACTTCCTGTTCTCTACCTGCTACTCCCTACCTCTCAGAATATTTCTCTCATCATACAAAGAGAGAGGGAAAAGCCAGATGTATTTATGAGGGTCCAAAACAAAAGAACGCAGGAGTATTTTGGTTTAATCTGAAAAAATAATGAAAGCTAAGACACATCTTTGTGTGGAATTTCTTCAGCAGATTTGCAATGTCAGCTTCACCATGTTTGTTGAGACCGGGAATGTTTGAGGTGGAAGGAACCTCAGAGGTCTAACACAACTCCCTCATTTTACAGGCAAGGAAACCACTCCAGGTAAGTTGAGCTGCATCTTGTCTTGTCTCAGGGAAATAGACTTCTCCAGGTTCCTAAGAAGCAGGCTTTTCTTGCTTGACAAAGGTTCTACTGGTCAGAGAGAAAAGTAAAATGCAGATTTCTAGATATAATTTTTCTGGACTAACCTCAACTTGAGTCAGTTCTGTTCCTACAGGTGTGAGAGGCAGGCTGCAGAGTATAACTGACTCCAATAAAGGAAGGCAGCTGGGGTTGCGTGCATGCGTGCTAAGTCACTTCAGTCATGTCCAACTCTTTGAGACCCTCTGAACTGTAGCCTACTGGCTCCTCTGTCCATGGGATTCTCCAGGCAAGAATACTGCAGTGGGTTGCCATGCCCTCCTCTAGGGGATCTTCCCAACCCAGGGATCGAATTAGCGTCTCTTACATCACCTGCATTGGTAGTCAGGATCTTCACCAAAAGTGCAGCTGAGGCTAAAGTGAAAGAAATTTAGGATCCATATGAGAGAAAATTCCTGAGATTAGGAATAACTGAACATCTGAATAGACAGACAGCTGATAATGGTAGTGGAATCTCCTTTTCTATCTGCCTGAATTGGCAAGGGAATGGATTGGGTGGCCTTTTAAGGTTGCTTCCTGTCCAAGGACTCTTATTGCGTTAAATAATATAATAAAGGTAAATCCAATCTGAAATGCTCCCCAAGCCAACGTTAACTGGAATGAAATTTTATGAGGGAAACTTCAGTTAAGCTTCTAGCTTCTCATTTCTTTCCCTGACATGCAGAGGTTAGCAATGTGAAGAAGGGAGGCAACCGATGTAGCTTTTAGAGTAAGAAATGTGCTACTATCAAGGTAAGAGAAGACAACAGATTCAGGACCTTACAAAAGACAGAGAAAGAAGACCGATAGAACCGAGGCAGCAAGGTACTGCCCCTGAATTAAACTCTGATATATTAGCTTTTCGTAACGGAGGAGGGGAGGAGGGATTGGTTTAAAAAAATCCAGATTTGGGAAGGTCCCCATGTTCTTCGGTATCTCAAAATTACAACAGCCCTGGCAACCACAGACAGCTCTGTACCGCCGGGCAAGTCACCGCACAGCCCCTTCTAAATGGAGGAAAGGGACCCCCAGTGAGAAGCCATTAACAAAGGCAGAAGACATGCAAAACAAACAAAATAATCATGGCCGAGAGAGAAGGCCAGCAGACAGTCTGGCTCTGTCCACCCCCTCCTGCTGCAGGCACCTCAGACAATGTAAACAGTTAATTTGTTCACCTGCAGGCTCTGGGCAAACAGAGGCCTGGTCACACCTGAGTGGATAACTCGATTACCCCTGTAATGCCAGCGTGGTAATGTACACAAATTCTATTACACGGCAAACCTTGCTTTCGGGCATTTGAAATACCAATCAGGCCAATGTCCACTCCCTTCTTTGCTTTCAATTTATTCTTGGTGTATTGGAGCTGCACCGGAATGGCACTAAGGTGGGTGCTGAACTTGGAGTCTGGAAGAGATCACTAAAAGATTGTGATCTCATTCAGCAGGGATTGCAGGCCTCCCACTGTCTCAAAAAAGGCTGGATCTGAATTTGGTCCTAGTTCAAAGAGGACGTGTAACTGCTGAAAGCTATCTTTGATCAGTCCTGGTCATTTTTCTAACAAGCTCTGGTATATTTCAGACTGAGACAAACATCTGGCCAAGGTAATGACATTCACAGAATAAAGATGAATGGCAAATGATGGGTTATTAACACAATGGGTTTTCTATTTTTCTTTATGGAGTTTACCTGAATATGTGTGCTAAGTTGCTTCAGTCGTGTCTGACTCTCTGCGACCCTATGGACTGTGTAGCCTGCCAAACTCCTCTGTCCTTGGGATTCTCTAGGCAAGAATACTGGAGTGGGTTGCCATGCCCTCCTCTAGGGGATCTTCCCAATCCAGGGATCGAACCAATGTCTCTTACATCTCCTGCATTGGCAGGCAGGTTCTTTACCACTACCACCACCCTTGAAGCCCATGGAGTTCACATACTCAACAATTAAAGAGCAAATTGTGCCCCTTTCAAAAATGTATTTGTTGATATTGATTGTCTCGTAGAGGGAGAGCTTTTTAACAAGTTTTTTTTCAGGGACAGAAATTTATTTCCTTAGTCCACCTGTACGGAATATGAGCAGTCTTCCTCTACAAAGATGATGCTACTGATCCCTCAAAGAGTAACCCATGAGTTCTAAATCTTCTTCACACTGGTGATGGATCTGAAACAATCTATCTTATTTTTTTGGCCCATTCTTTGGTATTCAACAACACCATTTGTGAGGTAGTTACCTGTGGCTAGGTGCTAACTTTGTGACTGAGGAAGAGAATAAAGTTAGCCCTTGTGGATTGGATTCACTATCTTGGCCTTACAGCACTTACTCAAATAAACTGACCTAACTAGCTCTGACTTCCCCCTGCATACGTAATTATATTACAGTTTTGTTTATCTATAAATGAAATAAGGCAGCTGACCTAGCTAGAATATTTTCAAAAGTACTTTATTGTAGTAAATTATGTATATGGTAATGATGTTTTAAGCATCACATAGACCCTTTTAAAAAGATCAAATTTTGATTGGCATGATTTTGGTATTGTGTCTACTTTATTGTATTTTTTAAATTTGGAAATTAGTTCCTGAATCTGAATTTTCAAATAAACTTTGACAATTTTAAAACAGTGGAGATTTACTCATGTGTGAGAGGGCCATGTAATACACGCATGAAAAATATATGACATGGGATAATTCTGGATGGGTGACTACATCATCAGGAGTGAGAAAATGAACTTTTGATCCAAGGCCCATACTCTAACCCTTACCTTGCTCAGAATTCGGATGAGGTCACCTCGTTGGAAGGACAGTTCATCTGACTGGTCACCATGGCAATCCCATAGGCCCTGGTAATAACTGGCATAGTCCACTGATCAAAGAGAGGAGAAATCAAAGTTAAAAGGACTCTGTCTTTTTCTACGGAGCCCACATTTTTGCTGCAAATGGAAACAAGGTTCTGATATTGGCCCTAGGAAATCTAAGATTCAAGGGGTTTGGGATGAGATACAGCCAAACACTCAGCAAGACCAAATGACTGTGGGAGAAGGAGGTTATTAACTAACATTAAATGTTTACAGATCATCCTTAGTCAGATGCTATTCAATAAAATGATAAATATATTCATTTATTAATAAAAGAAAACCAGGCAGGTAATTTTTCACTTGGTTTATAAGTAAGCAGCACAAAGAGATTTTCTGTCAGACTTTCTTCATACAGGGTATCTAAACTATCCAGTGCTTCTTTTTATTATGCATTGAAGGAATGAGATGTCTCCAACTTCTGCCTGTTTACAAGAAAGGCTGAGTCAGCCAGCACAGATCAGCACTGTGGCCTCACAGGTTGGCCTCGTCTGTTACACAGGAACTTCATCCTGCACTTCCCACCCAGGTACTTACTATATGAGGTAATTACTAATAAATGTGGAAAAGAATAGCCCAGTCCTTAAGTGGAACCAAGGGGGTGTCTCATCCATTACAACTAAATTCTGGGTGGGCTGGCCCTTTTCCAGCATCTCATTTGTAGACCCTGAACATGTCTTCCAAGATTTATCAGTAAGCCCCCTGGGGAACAGAAACCAAAGTGATCTGCATTAAAAATGAAAGCAGCTGAAGAGGACAAACCAAGCTTCAGAAACAGCTGGAGAGATTTACTGGCTCCTCAGCAAGACTAGATGGCAGTGATGCTACAGGACAGGCATTGATTCTTAACAATGAAGAATCTGTATTGATCTTCTTCTACCCGGAAAGGTTAAACACTAGAGTACAATGTGGGAGAGGATCTGGGGATGTGAATGGCAGGAGTGCTAATGCCTCCTGGACCAGGGCTAATGTGGCAGTGCTCGCCATTTCTAGGGACACTGTGTATGAGAACTGTATGCAGAACACCCACAAAAGGTGACATTCCTGATGACAGGAGTCAGGAGCCCTGGTTCTAATCAAACCTCAAGTGATTTGGGGGGCACCTTATTTTGCCAGTTTCCACCTTTCCCTTCATTTGTCTTGACCCTCCAGTGAGAGTGATGGTGCTAGTTGCTAAGGATGGGATAGATGGAGAGAAGTGGGCAGTGTGGGGACAGAAGCTCTGCCTATATTTGCCTTTTTTCTCCTTGTTCCTAACTTACAAACAATTCAAAGAATAAAGGCACAGAAGAACAAGATCCTTATATGTCTCTGGGAAAGAACTTTAGTAGGAACCTTAAAGTGTACAAAACAGAGGAGAGACAGAGCTATTTAGTTAAGATTCAGATATTGCAAACAGAAGTGAAAATGTTAACCATATAGAAACTCAAGGATATTTTGTTTTCGCAGAGTTTATATATTCAGTAGACAACAGAGGGCAGCAAATAAGATGACTGCACTGGAAACATTCTGCCACAGAGTTAAGAACATGTTTGGGAAAAAAACCCATTGGGAAAAAAATGCTAATTACTGAAAAGACAAGGCATATTTTGGTAGGGATATCAGGGTATGAAACAACAGAAAAATATAAGTTCCTGAAAAGTGAAAGTAGTTTTCCCAGAGGATATAATGCATTTTCAGTTGTAATGTAGTTGATTATTCATGCCAAGATTTGGGCTAAGTTTAGGAATGAAAAGTACATTGACATCAATATGTTTCAAGGATTTATATATGGTAAAGAAGATCATTTTATAAAAAATAGACTTTTAAAAAACATCACTTGAGGTTTTCAAATTGTAAGACTTACAAAGTTATCTTGGCCTTTTCTGGCCTAGCAGATGGTCACTGTGGTGTATACCCCCCACATGCCTGGATGTGGACTAGCTCCTTGATATGATGGGTACATTTTGAGTCTCTATGTAGAAAGTGATTTGATTTGGGGTATATAAGACACCTGTGGAGAACACCAGGAAAAAGAGCTATTCTAAAAGCGCAGCAGATTGTAGGGAATGCAAAAAGCTAGGAGAAAAACAAAAACCTTCCAAGAAAAACTAAAAGTGGAAGACACTTTCAGTTCTTCATAAGCTAAAGGCCCAAAGAAGATAGAACTCAGGAATCCAGGAGATCGCTTAGCCTAGTTCAAGAACTGGAATCATCAGAACCATAACAATGCTGCTTTGGAAAATAAGCAGAATGAAGGATAAAAATGGGGAGGAGGTTGGACTGACAGTCTAAACAGAGGTATCCTGGTATTAATGAAATCAGAGTGGAGGAATGTCTTAGCTGGATAAGATTGGACTCTATTGAAGACTCCCAGTTTAAAACAGGTGACTGGTATTTATGTGTATATATGCACACAACTTCACTACATTCACTCTTCAGCCTTCAGCAAACATGCAAGATGCTGGGAATTCTGCATGGGCCATACACACGGTCCCTGCCCTTAGGGCTGCCATCCAGCAGGGGCGGCACCATGAAACAAAGTCACACAACCATTTATTTATTTATGATTGTGATGTATCTGCAAACGAGAAGCTGAGGGTGCTGTGTATAACAGGGAATCTAACATAGTCTGAGGGATCAGGGAAGCCTTCCCTGAAGCTTTAAAACTTCCCTGTAAAACAAAAACCTGATCAAACCTCGAAGAGGGGAAGAGGTAAGACCATGGAGGGCTTTATTCCTGCAGCTTGGTCCCAGGAAGAGCTTGAAGGCTGAGAGTCTGCTGGGCCAGGCCAGCTTCTCCCTAGGCTTGTCCAGCACTCCTATGAACAGAGGATGCGTGAGGAGACTCGGATGTCTTTAGACCAGTAAGGAATTGGGAGCCTGAGAGGGAGGATTGACTCTCTGGGAGGGTCTGAGGCTCCTTTAGGTTTACATTCCTTTGGCAGCAGTCTGAGATCAGAAATGGTGCAGCATTCTGACCATTTAATTAATTCAGAACATCCTCATTCTCATTTTGAGGACATTATTCCATCTAATTATTTTTTTCCAGTCTGTCCATTTGGAATGAAAAACAAAAGAATAAAGCTTAATGCCAGCATTTCTCAATGTCTCTCCAAAAAACGTAACTCTGCACTAAATAAAGCCTGGTAATTCAAAAGCAAAGCACTAATATATTCAGCATAAAACAGACAGAGGACCTAGAGCAATAATGACACCACTAATAACTAAAACAGTTATAACAATTAACAACAATTACAATGATAGAGAAGCTAATGGGTATGATCACAGCATTTAAATTGCTAGCAGAGCTGAGGAGGACTTTTACTAGAGGGAAAAAAAGGGGCAGCATCTTATTTTTTTTAACCCAACGTAAGAGAAGCGATGCCCCCAAGCAGGCAAAATGTCCTAGGAGGAATAGAAGCAGAGCAAGTTAAAAATATGTTGTTTTTCTCTCTTTTCTAGGTATTTATTGCAAAGCATTTGTCATTCCACACCAAGTCTTTACAACCAGTGATAATGTCATTTCTCTAGTAACGGAGGCCAAGCTGGTGCTACTATTGACAGAGTCGATATTTGAAAATGAGCCACCATGATGTGGAGAGTCCTAAGGTGAAAGGAGCGGACACGGTTCTGCCTGCCCCCCTCCTTAGACACAACAGAGCTTGACCATGCTCTTTCCAGAGTTCACACGTCACTGTGGGTTTCTGTTTGAGAGATACTGGGGAGCTCCAGAAGTCAAGCTGTGACCAAGAAAAAGAGGCTAAAGGCAAGCCAGCATGTTGTTTACATTTTCTTGATAAGCAAAAGGACTGTGCCAGTGTGGCCCTGGGTATAATTACTTAACAGGTTATGGAAAAGAGACAAAGGGAGAAGACAGATAAAGCCAGTTCTTGCATGAGAAATGGATAAAGAAGGCCAAAGCAGTGGCCCATTGGAAGGGACTTGAAATGTTCTCTAGACCAGGCCATAAAGGCCACTGTGTACATACAGTCCATTAAGCAGACTCAGTCTCATAACGCATTAGCTATTTCAGAAAGAAAGAGACATAGAAAAATTTGCCAAGCTCTACTGACTATGATACCAGAGCAGGAAAAGCCACTAAACAATACCATTTGCTTGTTCTCATAGCTTTTTAGTCTTTGAGTTTTGAAATTATTGGCCTTCTCTGCTGGCTCAGATGGTAAAAAATCTGCCTGCAGGAGACCAGGTTTGATTCCTGGTTCAGGAAGATGCCCTGGAGAATGGAATGGCAACCCACTCTAGTATTCTTGCCTGGAGAATTCCATTGACAGAGCTTGGAGGGCTACAGTCCACAGGGTCACAAACAGTCAGACACAACTGAGTGACTAAGACTTTCAGTTCTGACATTATTATGGTTCCTAATGTTATAAGCATGGTCTTGAAGTGGGGCACATTCACAGATTCTAATTTTCATCTTGTGTGTTCCTTTTATTGGCCCAAAATTATAGCTGGGTGATGATCCACTCATGTTTGGTCTTGGAAACCAGGTTTCAAAAAGTATTAATAAGAGCTGCAAATACCTCTGTGGATTCCCTCTGTTTCTTTTATGTAATAATTTACACCATTGGCAGCCACTAAAGAGGAAAAAATGCCTTAGAAATGGAAAGCTCATCAGCAATCATTTTTCTGCAGAAATGACTGAACATGGTCTCCTCCTTGGCTGAGTTTGCCCGTAACTTCAGAGCAAAAACAACCTGTTTCAAGATCTTCTTTGGTCAGAGGTTTGACATTTCTAAGGATGATTCATGCCTCCAGCCCTGCTTTTGATCTGACATGGCATAGCCAAGCAAATGGCCAGTTGTTTTCATACAAACAGCAGAGAATGAATTTTACTTTTGGCAACCTGGACATGCCTTCTCATGATAGAGAATGGAGATAAGCTATCATCACCAAAGACACTTAGTGTTAGACCGTAAGGCTGATGGGTTAGAATTTAGTGAAAATCTGAGGTGTTGAAGAGTCACTCATTAGAATAACCCTGTTACTAACAGTCAAGCTGTAAACCGAGCTCTTTATAGATTGAACAATCAATACTACAAGGCTGTGATAGATTTTCTAGGTAACAGAATAAAATAAAAGAAATTACATCTTACAGGGTCATTAACACCCAACCAGGATAAACTGAATTCTTTTTTTCTCTCTCTTCTGATAAGATCCTAGTTAGGCTTTAAAAATGTTAGCAATTCCATCAGGGAAAAAGCACAGCATTCCAGGGAAAGGATCCCTGAAATAGTGAAGAAAAGCATGTGGATTTTAAAGGTAATCCTGGTAGCCATAGTATCATTTACGAGAAAATACTTTTCCCCCTCAAAGGGCATGTGACACCTGACTTGCCCAAGTGAACCAAACTTGTGTAGCTTGCCTATTATAGAAGAATTTACACTGTCCTGGAGCCCTTGCCTTTTATATGTCTACCCTTCCCTCAAAGCTCTATATTTTATTGTTTTAAAGCTAAGTGATGACACCTGGATGTTACATATTTGTAGCCGTTGCTATAGCTCCTTTGTAGGAAAGGCATCATATAAATTCAATAAATAAATAAGTAAATACAATAATAATAAAAATTCTTGCCTCAGATTCTGCAGAGAGAGGGGAAAGTCCTCCTTTGCTTTTTAATCCCTAAGTCACCAATCATTATAACTGGTGGGAAGTGTAAACCATAGAAATGTATTTAGAGCTCACTGCTCTTTAACAACACCTATTTTGAAGGCAAAAAGCTTGAGAAACAAAGTTTTTTTTTTTTTTAAAGAAGTATGTGAATTACAGCTGTTGGAACAGTTAAGAGACAAATCTCTCCTCACTCTTCAGACTGAACCTTAGAAAGAGGAGTGGAGGGAAGAAATAAGACGGGGGAGAAGTCTGAAACTGAATTTTAGGCTTTTGCCAGAAGGCTGCTGCTTCCTGAAGGAAGTTTAATGTAAAGTAAGAAGATTCCAGTTACTCCACCCACGCTGTCCACACGAAGTGCTTCTTTCCTGCACCAGTGAGGGAAGTTGGTTGAGAAAAGACATATGTGGGATATGGGTTGGTAAAGAAACAGACTTTTGTTGTTGTTGTTGGAATTCTGTACAGCAAGTAGAACAGTAAAAAAAAAAAAAATTCACAGAGGACTTAATCACAAGCGCTAACAGTCATAAGGTCCTTACTTGAAACTACACTAACATTCCTGTCATACTTGCTTCACTTCTCTTTGGCTTTGGCTCGTGACTTCTGATGCTGCCTCTTTGCTGTCTTTTCTCTCATTTGAAGAAGTTGGGTCCTTCACTAAACCTGTTACATATTTACTTCCCATGGAGAATTCACCCAGGAAATGGGCTTTGCTGAATGGATTAGGAAGAGAAGAAAAGGCACAAGGAAAGGGAGAAGGAGGAAAATGGGAAAAGGTGGAGAGGCTGGGGAAACAGAAGGGGAAAAGGATGGAAAGAGGGAAAGAATCTCTAGGCTTAAGACTTCCATAGAATCTCAAAGAAAAAGTCAGCTAGTATCTAAATCAGTCACTTCCAGGCTCTGCTGATGGCATAAATGTCCTTGAGGTGGCCTGTACATCATGTATTCCTTTATAGACAATGATAGACTAGGACCTTGGTCGACTTAAGGGGGCTTTAGAGGGGCATCTGACCTTAGAAAGGATGGGCTGACTAACAGACTGAAGCATGGTTAACAGTCTGGGATGAATAAGATGTAATTTTGTATTCAACAAACCTGTTACATATTCATTTCCAAATGTGCCTGGAATCAAACCAGGCCATCAGAAGTCAGCATCACCAAGCAGTTCTATCCTTCACCCCACGCTCACTTTTCAGATCTGACACATTTCCATTCCCCTCTGAACTTGCAATCTCCGGGCCTCTCAGACAGGAGACATTTCCATTCTTTCCATTCTCAATCCTCTGATCTTTCAGAGATGAGGCAATTCTATTTTCACTGTACTGATTTAAGAAATACTGATAGGGAAAAATAAATATCTGGTTCGGCTTCTCACCCTCTTTAGGATAAATCTTAGCTGTTCTGGGAACATTAATTAACGTGAACGGGTGGTTACTTTTAAGGTTAAGCTATTTCCCTGTCCAGTCATCTTATTCGGGGCTGTTGAGGTCAACACACCAGTACCCTCTTACTAGCTAGCCCAGTAATGTTTGTAATCAGAGAACGGTGCTTTCTCCGGTGGGAAGCCTGAATATTCTACCCAGCACCTGTACATTTTTGAGGCTCTCATACCTCCTTTTTGTTGAGTGCCACTCTCATCCTCTTCTAGATCATGCTCTTCATCTGTGGGGATAAACATGATCAGCATTAGCAATTAGTAGTCAATAGTCTGTTATTTGCACTGACGGGTCTTCTTTCTCTGAGCTCAACATGCTCTCTTCTTTAAGGCAATAATTACCGTATTCTTTTTTAAGTTTATTTATTTTTAATTTAAGGATAATTGCTTTACAGAATTGTGTTGTTTTCTGTCAAAGCTCAACATGAATCTGCCATAGGTATACATATAGCCCCTCCCTTTTGAACCTCCCTTCCAATCTCCCTCCCCATCCCACCCCTCTAAGTTGATACAGAGCCCCGTTGGAGTTTCCTGAGCCATACAGCAAATTCCCGTTGGCTATTCACTTTACATATGATAATATAAGTTTCCATGTTACTCTTTCCACCCTCTACTCCTCTCTCCTCAGGTCCATAACTCTATTCTCTATGTCTGTTTTTCCATTGTTGCCCTGTAAATAAATTCTTCAGTACCATTCTTCTAGATTCCATATATATATGCGTTAGAACACGGTATCTATCTTTCTCTTTCTGACTTACTTCACTCTGTGTAATAGGTTCTAGATTCATCCACCTCATTAGAACTGACTCAAAGGCATTTCTTTTTATGGTTGAGTAATATTCCATTGCATATATGTACCACAACTTCTTTATCCATTCATCTGTTGATGGACATCTAGGTTGCTTCCATGTTCTAGTTATTGTAAATAGTGCTGTAATGAACAATGGAATACATGTGTCTTTTTCAATTTTGGTTCCCTCAGGGTATATGCCTCCATGTTCTTTTTTAAAAAATCATTTCTCATGTTCAAACTGGCCTTCTTTTCTTTCCCTCTCCATTCATTCATTCACAAACATTCTTAAGTGCTTACTATATGCAAGACATTGCACTAGGAGCTGGAGATGTGGTGATGGACAAGACTGGTCAGCTTCCTGCCCTTGTGAAGCTTCCAATCCACTGAATTATTTAGGTGCCTATTATTAGGATCCTAATCCTCTTTCTCAGACCCGATTTCTCCTTCCCTTTGAGAATTCTCTTCAAAATGTGTTATCTCCATGTAAGTATTCAGAGTTTGTATGTGTGAAGCTAAGCACATGTTTAAATCCTCTGTGATTAATTAATCCTTAATATATCAAACTTTGTTCAATTGTTACCGAAGGTGGTCATATACACAATTTTATGTTCTTGGTACTTGGAGCTTGTACTTACCTTTTTACTGTTGTTATTCAGCCTGCCTCGTTCATGAGAGTATGAGCTCCTGAGGGCAGTTGGAATGAATGGCAGGTACACAATGACTTCTAAGTCAATGCCATTATCTCACTCCATCCAAGTGTTTATAAAGTCAAAGTCACAACATGATTTCTTACCTTCATTAACCTGTTTCATCCCAGACTTTGTACTACCTGATAGCATGAGAACTGGGTCCTTATCAAGAAAGTATGGGTATCAGAATCATATTGAGCTGTTTTATACGTGAGGCAAAATGCACAGAAATATACATGCTATTCTCCTTTTCATCACTACCACCCAACACACACACACACAGAAACACACACACACACACACACACATTCAGAGAATGAATGGGACATAAAAAGCAACATTTTGAGGGTTGAATACTAGTTTCTTCTGGCCACATGTACTTTCCTTTCTCTTTTGAATCTGAGGGCACTTACCTGTCTTGATCCCCATAGTTATACCTTTAAATGGAACTTTTGAGGTGATGGCCCAGGACAGCCTCCCCTTTAAATATAAGGTTTATAGGGTAACATGAGTTATGGTATGTCAGACTAGGAGAAGTAAACTCTAAGCTCATAACTATGAAGAAACAGCATAAGAGTATGTAACACACTACAGGACATTAAAGAATTACAATTAATTTCACATATAAAATGAAATAGTTCCCCTGAAAAAAATCTAAATTAATATTGTTATTGGGATTGATACTTTGGGAAATAAATCACATTACTAACATTTAAATAGGTATATAACGTATATATATAATATAAGCCTGCCCTACAAGGTTGCACGGGAGAAAGACTCAAATCTCCTAATCTCTGTATATGACCCTGCAGCAGAGAATTTCCCACTCACTGCCTGTAGGGCTCCCCCACCTCTCCATGAGGAATAAGGATGTGAGATAATGTAGGACTGAGATCAAATATCGGAAATAGATCACATTGAAATAAATCACATTTAACATCATTCTTTGCACATTGTCTTCTTGTTATTACCTGCATTTCCTTCCTTTCTCTGCTATGATGCTTTTTCTTTTTGATGTGGGACCAATTTCGCAGGATTGAAAACATTCAAAGAAGAGTTGGTATGTCCTCCGTTTTAGAGATACCCAATAATGTGGACAGAACACAGCTCTTTTGCTGATATCAGACAACTTAATCACAAAGACCAGTAATTTGCTGTGCTTAGGCACTTTTGCAGAGAGGGTTTATTCTACCTCTGCTGTCTGTGCGCAGATGTCTCTTCCTCCCAATTCTAATCAATGTAAATTGGGTCAGATCTCCGCTGTGAATTACAAATTGGATCCGAAGTTGGAGGGTCACTGTGCCTGCTACTCCACCCCCTTCCCACCACCATTAGATGGGAAGCTACACCAAAGATCTTTTCTAAATAAATCAGACTTTATTGTAAAACTCGGCCACTGACGAGACATAACCTCATTAGCATTGATTTTAAAATAAATTATTGAAAGTGGCTTGCCTGCTCTTTGCATTTGTAAAACAGGAGAATGTAAATGTATTTGCAATGATAAAAATGAAAACTAAAACTTGAATCTTTTATCCTTTCAGGCAACATCACTTAAACCAGTCATGATACAAAAATGGAAAAAATAAAACTCTGCTTTATGCAGTTCAATTACAGAACAGATACTCTGATTTCCATTGGGCCTGTAGAGTCACCTAGAAAGAAAGCAGAATATTGGCCACAGGTCTTACATATCATTCATCACCGTTACTAAGTGCTATGGTGGTGCAAGTGAACCAGGACGCCCCAATCCCTGTGTCTATCTAAGTCTGTCCTTCCTGGGTGGCTAAAAGCAGGCGTCAGAGTAGGAGCCCAGCCACTGAAGTGAGAGGTTGGGTGCTGTGTCTCTGCGGTCTTTGAAGGAGTAAGTATGGGGACTATCACCTGGTGAAGGCAAGTGCCCTCCCTTCACAGCTAGATGTGTCTTCTCAGCATCATCCCAGTCTCAGAGTAAAAAGTAAAAGGAAAGCGTCAGTCGCTCAGTTGTGTCTGATTCTCTGAGACCCCATGGACTGTAGCCTGCCACCCTTGCCGGGATTGTCCAGGCAATAATGCTGGAGTGGGGAGCCATTCCCTTCTCCATGGGATCTTCCTGACCTGGGTCTCCTGCATCGGCAGGCGGTTTCTTTACTGTCTGAGCCACCCAGGAAGCCCCCAGCTTCAGAAGGCACCACACAAATAGCTGAAGGCTTAGTTGCTCCGTCGTGTCCGACTCTTTACAACCCCATGGACTAGAGCCCACCAAGCTCCTCTGTTCAAGGGACTTTCCAGGCAAGAATACTGGAGTGGGTTGCCATTCCCTTCTCCAGGGGATCTTCCTGACCCAGGAATCGAATCCAGGTCTTCCGCATTGCAGGCAGATTCTTTACTGTCTGAGCTACGAGGAAAGCTGAGGCGTACAATTTATCTCGGATCTGTCTGTGAAGTCAAACTGCTATCTTTCAAACTCCAAAGTCAAGAAGACTGATTATATGGCAACAAGCAAAAAAACTCTGCTCACAAAAGGGGGTTAAACAGCCAAATTTCTTTTTTTTTTTTTTCATCTGTAAGGTGGGACTTTAATTTTAAAAAGATTACTTTGAAAAAAAACTTTTTAGGCTAAAGAACTTGTTGAATTTCTGTATAAGAATATTATTAGGCTTTTTAGCATGACATCTACTAAAATACATCTTCATTTAAGGAGGAATTAAAATTTATGTGCTGCTCAACTTTAAACAGTAATAGATTATAATGGTTCTTGCTCCTAACAGCGCATATGGGAACCCAACCTTACACAGGCTTTAAACAAATTAACCTCTAAAGATTACTGTCCACTTATTACATTAAATGCTCTACTTGATTCCCAAATATTTCATTTCAACTGGGAAAACAGTTGAGGAAGATTCTGTTAACTGTGTGAATGTGTAAGAGAACCATGGGGTATCACAAATGAGCATCGGTATCCAGAGAGTTGACTTCAATCAACACTCTTGGCACAATGTCAGGGACACTAATGAGAGGCTGAGAGGAACAGGACACTGACTCCACTGTGGGGACCCCGAGAGGAGCCAGCTTCCTGTGACGCCTAGCTCCTTTCTGAAGTGCTGCTCTGACATCGGTTGAACTGGGAATAGAATTTTTAAAATGACTAGATAAGAAAGAGGGAGGTCACTTCTCTCAAGTAAAGCAAAGTGACAGAAGCTTTAAAAATGCCAAATGTATCAATGTGCAACCAGATGTCAAGGTGTTCTGGTGACAGATGTAGCAGAAATGCAGATAACCTCGAAGTGCAAAGGGAACAGGCAAAAAATGGAAATAGAAACCACTCCACAGAATGCATAGATATGTTATAAATCCATGGATGCTACAGCACCTCTTCAAACAACATGGCAAATAGGAGCATAATGCTAATAGCACATTTAATTCTCTGTTGTATAGCTGGTAATCCCAACTGTTACCTCAAAATATTTGCATCCTATCTCCATGGTAGGATCTTGAGTACTAGATATTAAACTCAATTTTTGCTAACTGCAACACTTGGAATACACTAAATTTCAAAAATCATAATGGAGCACCTACTAATTGGAGGAGAAAAACCTAAATACAAATCCCTGATGCAGAGCTCAGCTGCAGCTGCATCTCCGGGGGGCTGCCACTGAGGGGACTCAGAGGGGCCCCAGTCACAGGCTGGGGGCGGGGATCCGAAGTAGAAGAAAATACACGGTTCCAGTTTTGGTGCTGGTCAGAAGTAGGTTTGTCTGGAGCCAGGGGTGCACAGGACTGAGGGGAAGAGAAGGCCAAGAAGCTCGGAAGGGGCCTGATGGCAGCTTTGATTCTTTGATGTGCCCCTCATGGAACCCTGCTTTTCCATGAAATTGGAACTTGTTTCTTCACAAACTTCGTACTTTTGGTGTCTGCTTTTCTTCTTTCCTTAGACTTCTTGCTATCATCATTCCCCCTTTCTGTGGGTCTGGACAATTGTATGGGGGAAAAATAATTCCACAGAATGGATTCCATTTGTCTCAAATGAAAAAAAAACCCCAGTTATCTGCTTTATTATAAAGCGATCTGGTTTCCGGGTCTATAATGATCCTCCAGGGCAGTGCAGGCAGCTTCAGAATGTGCACAGACATTCCCAGGGAAGGCTCTTTGCCTCTCCATGTGCTCTCCTGAAATCTCTTTAGACAACACGGCCAGATTCTATTGCTACTGCAGCTGCTGCGAGGCCTCAGTTACAGCTCTCAGTGGTCTCAGGTGCCTTGCTGGATTCCAGGCTCAAGGCCCCAGACAGAGAGAAACCTGATTAAAAACTGTCCTTTTATGGAATCTGGAATCATGAAACTGCGCCTGTGCTAGACTGCGAAATAATTTTGGGGAGGGGTGAAAGAGGGTTCAGAAAAGCCTTTCATTTTCCACATATTGCTTTAGTATTTCTTTGTTGGTAGTTCTCTACAGTTTAATCTACTGCAAATGAGATCTTTAAAATCAAGGGCTCCCATATTCTTAACATGGATGTTCAGAAATCCCAGTAGATAACAATCCTGAAACCATATTATCTAGGACTCACATTGTGGTCTTGGGCTGAAAACCTCAAGTGCTCTGGCTTTCCCTCAAGGGAAGGAGAGTGCTAGCAATGTAGCAAATGCTAATTATCCCATGATTAATGTGATGTAGTGCATTTAATTTGATGATCCATACACTATTTTGATTAGGAAAAAACATTTTTGTATTGACTTGGTATATGTTACAGGCACTTTTCTTTCAAAACTAGGAAGTCCATCAAAATTATATTCTGGAAGGGAGGAGATCTCACTTACACAGCCTTCCCCATAGAGACAGTGAGGCTGGTGTAGGTCCCATCCCAAAGAGGAAGGAGAAGCAGATATTCTCTACAAAGCATATTTACCTGTTACCGTGAGACATGTCTTAGAGGCCCAAGTCATTTGACTATTGATGAGTGTGCAACATTAGCACAATCCCACCTTACTGTCAATTGTCCCTCCACCCAGCACCTGTCTTCGCAGTAAAAATGGGCCTGAGCAGAAGGTGCGAGCCACTTTCCATCTGCTTGGGATTTTCAGTTTCACCTGCTTCACACGTATCACTGAAAATGTCCAACCGAACTGTCTCTGGTTTGGTTGGAGGAGATGGGGAATGAACTGATTCCTAGGATTCTTCAGAGAGGCAACACTTTCTGTTTAAATGCCACCAAATGGAGAACAGCCAGCATTTCCTGAACGCTGCCTGTATGCCAGGGCTCTCAGTGCTTCATGCATTCTGTTCCAGGCTTCTCATGCATCCTTTGTGACAGCTACTACTGTTATTCCCATTTTACAGCTGGCAAAACCACACCTGAGAAACAGGGCAGATAACTTGCTCAAGGCCTTACAGCTGGCAGATGGCAGAGCAGGTCCATCCCGACCCAGAGCCAGCGCTGTCACTGTGACATCATGCTGTGTCTCACATCACTACTCAGGGGGTGGGCTTCTGAGATGAGTGTCAGGCTCCCTCACATCCTCTCTCAATTCCTCCAAGACAGGGAGGGTGGCACAGGCAAAACTAACAGCAATCTGAGAAGCAACAAGCTGAGTAGCACAGACAGGAAGCTGGCTGTTGGAGACTTGTGTCTGAAATAATTGCATCATAATAAAATGCCAATATATCCCAACTTCAATGCAGTCTCTAAAAACTGTGATAGATAGAAGCTTTTGGGAAAGAACCTGTTGGCTGGGAACAGCCCTGTCCTTTAGAAAATAAACCAGCAAGTTGGCTGCTGTTGCCCTAATCTGGAAAGAGACCCTGGTTTTCCTGTGATGTGGCCTTCCTCACTTCTGAGGGGCAGTTGATGTAAGCACAGCGTAAGTGGCTTTCCTCAAGAAAGTAGACCAGTCTCCATGCCCTGGGAGTCCACTCCAATATCCAAACTGGCACAAGCTTTGTCACACTGGGCGGTGCCACGATGGCTGAGGGTAGGGTTTGAAGGGGCGTGGGAAGGATGGTTGCTAAGAAACCAGTCACACATTCAGCAACCCACCTGGGGCTAGGTTTTATTTTCTGAGACATCTTTCCCTTTACTCTCCTTTGCTCTGTGTGTCTGAGCATCAGCTCCTTTCTCCCTGCTCCTTTGAGAAGTAAACACGGGCACGAGCAACCCTTCTTTGCTCCACAGAAGGCTGAGTGGCTCTGTGAGGTTTTCCCAGAGCACTCTTACACAGCTGTGACCTCAAGTGGAGTGTTACCTGGATATCTCCCCCAACCTGGACAGCAGCAAGTGGAATGTGAGCTCATCAGAAACCTCTGGCCAAGCTGGGGAATACATCTCCTTTTAGGGGTTGTTGTGATTTAGATCCATTTCTGCACCCTGCTGTTGCAATGGAGCAGACTGTGAAAGGGAAGATTCTCAGAGGAGCTGTGTTTTAATGTAGCAATTTGATTCAATTTTCCACTCTATAAAATTACCCATCACTGCTCGTTGCTTTCTAACAGACACCTTCACTCTTAATTTAACAATCCTATCGAATTCTGCCAGGGAAATTGGAAAAATTTATCACCTGTGAAATTTTATTTTCCTTTGGTTGTATCTGTTTTTGTAAAACTTCATTAACGACGATGACTTGCTGAGGAAATTATCATTTTTTTTTTTTAACTTCAGACACAAGAAATGGCTCGACCTCAACCAAGATATCATTTGCATAATAAAACACAACAAAAAGACTGGGGAAGTCGGGGACTAGCAGAGGCTGGAAGTGCTGGGAGAAGAAGCAGGCTCTTCTTGTCGTGGGTTGGTGACTGAGTGTGTGAGGTCCCAGTCAGGAGGAAAGGTGAAGCCACAGCCCTGCAACTCAGGAAGCAATGACGCAGCTTCTCCCCAAGGGAGAGAGGAACGTGGTATTGACAGGACTGAACCCTTCTTAGGGAGCCTTGAAATGTCAGTTGCTTACTAACAATATTTTTAGCAACCAGCCCTGACTTCAGGGGCCTGAGTGTTAGGTTCACCTCAGCTCCTAGGTTCATCTGGGATTGAGGTTTAAATTGCTATAAATTTAGACTTAACTTGGATTTCTCAGTAGAGCACTGAACTCCTGGCAAATTTCCACAGGAGCGATCTTTCTGAATGGACTTGAAGACTCAGCGTTCCTGTGGTCTAACTACCTCACAATTAAAAGGCTCAGGCTTCATTTTTTGCACAGTCTGACCCCCACTGTGCTCTGCACTGTTTAGCAGCTGCTGTTACCCACACAGGAAGTGGTTGGGCGGGAGCAGTGATGACTACACAATTTTTGAGATGCTGGTTATCATGCCTTCGGAAAAAAAAGAAATAAGTACAGTAGACCTGGTGTAATGGTGGGCAGAGGACACACGTTAGGTCTATTAGCAAGAGATGTGATTTGATTTGTGGTATATCTGGACTAGGCAAGGGTGAACTGTGCTCTGTCAAGGCTTTACTGTGTTACTGAAAAGGCTTGTCGGCGTTTATATTTCTGCAGTCTTTTCATATCCTTCATCATTTGAGGTGACTTTCCATTATCCTCACAATTACACAGAAAAGAAGTTCAAACTAGACAGTTTTGATGAAACTCATGGTAAACCTATGAGAACCAGCATGAGTATTCTTGACTCTTGAACCTGTTGATGTTTGTAATAAATTACTTCACGTGCAGAGATAAAAGACACTCCCCATCCCCATCAACCCATCTTGACCCCAGGGCAGGGCTTCTGTGCTGGGAATCACGGAAGGTTCCTTGCAGTGCCTCCATCAGAGGTTTGGCTCCCTCTGGAGCTGTCCAAGTTATATTCTTCTACCAGGTCTAGAGTCTCTAAACTAGAGGAAGGTAATTAGAAGACGAAATGTCTCACCTGGTAAGAGTTCATAAATATCTTCTTCTTTCTCCCCCATCAGCTCTTTGAGCCCCACGCTCCCAGGCAAGATAATGGGTCTGCTTTGGGAACCAGAATTTGAGGAGTCAAAACCATCGATATCATCGTACATCTCTTCTTCTTCCTCTTTCTCCTCTTCTTCCTCCTCCTCTTCCTCCTCTTCATATGGAATGGTTAAGGAGCTCAGGTCTGTCAGGGCAGAGATGAGAATGAATCAAGATAGGATGAGAAGGAGAAGGACAAGGCAGGGAAGGAAAGAGGGAGAAGGAGGAGGAGGGATGAGAATAAAACACGTCAAAAGAAAATGAAACACCAGGTTAAGTGCTGTTATTTCTAGTGCGGGACTTGGTGGCAGGAAATCTACAGAAAAGGCCAGACTAGCACTGCATCAGGTTTAAACCATCAACATAAATCCTTCCTTGCAATAAAACTTGATCAGGATGAAGCAGCCCTGAAAAGTATGGGTGTGTGAGAGCACATGAGGTGAAGGGAAGAGAATAGGCCAGAAGAGGAAATGCCAGCGTGCTTCGCGCTGCTTGTCAAGTGGAAAACTGGGAGGGTGAGTGATGGCCTAGGTTCTCCGGGGCGCACGGAGCCTGGGAACGATGGTGGCTTCCATAGGATACCTGAGCTGTCGCAAGCTCATTCATCTCCCCCATGGTCTCACTGCAGAATTTCCGAGAGGTGTGCTTGTAAAGAGAAAAGTGGGCAAAAGTGGAAGAGGAAGAGAAAGTGGGATGTGGAAAAATATAACGGTAATACAGGACCAGAAGGAATGGCTGAGCGATGTGGTTCCCATGTCCTTTTGCAACTGTGCAGTCTGGCTGACCTTAAAATGGGTCACCACAGAGAGGATGTTGAGCCTTACAGCACTGGGGGGCACAGGGCAGGAGAGGGAGGGTGCTTCCTTATTTTAATGGGGAACTGGGAAGGTTCATTCTCTGAGGCGCAGTACAGAGTGCTCTCTGAAACCCTGCGGAGGGGCCCCTGCAGGGCGGGCGAGAGCAAGCAGGGTGCTCTGGGGAAGAAAGAACAGAGAGACATCCGACGCTCATTTCGAAATACAGTAAAACTGTTTGGCTTGATTAGGCTTTTAATCAAGATTTTGCAACTATTTTCATCTGAATTCTGGTGCCACCTCATATGAGGAAGGGATCAAAGACACATCTGTGGCTTAAACCATATGTTATTATTTTGTTTGTTTTAAAATAAAATGGAATGAATAATTTCTTCAATGTGGGATTCTGAAAGTACCACAGGGTACAGCTCAATAAAGCTGCTTGGAGTTTTATTGAGGTTTACACACTTAGGGGTATATTACACGCATAAATCCAAGGCACCTAGATGAGAGCGTACCCTGTAGTCTCACCATCAGTGTTCATGTTTGCCTAGTTCTAGTCTATTATACGTGACGCTCTTGGTAGATGCAATAGTTTGTTCCTGTGATAGTAAAGGCATAAACTGAGTAAAGGAGGCAATTGTAATTAAAGCTCTGGTGCTTCCTTCTTTTTTATCCACAATAAAATCTTATAGCAGAATTTAAAAAACTAGATGAGAAGGCTTGGTGTTTTAAGTTGATGTTCTTCTCCCTAGGTCTTGGGTCACGTATGAAGTTGGTGCTTCTGCCTTTCTGCAGAGGCAGGGTCCTGCCATGAGGTATGTGTACCATCAAGAGGGTTATCAATGTCAGGTGACAGACTCTTGGCTGACTGCTCCTACCTGCTGGGCCCCTCCCAGACAAGGCTGCCTGGGCCCCTGTCACTGCTGTGCCTACAGGATGGCCAGCAGAGGGTACTCTAAGAGCAGGCATTTGACATCCTCAGGCAGGAGTCTTCCCAGTCAAAGTAAAGAACATTTGATTGTGGTTTGCGAACAGCAATTTGTTTTTTGTGTCCAATGTTCTTAAAGGCCACCTAGATGAGTTTAGATTTCTACTTGACTAAAACTGGAAGATTTTGAACCTAAACCACATCTAGATGACTTTGGTATCCTGTATTTCTTTTCCAGAATATAAGGGGTTACGAGACACTGAATTGAGCGGAGCTGGTTTTTAGCATCTCTTTTCTGGTGATTATAAATATTACAGACTTGCCTGTAGGTAGGTGGAAGAACTAGAATGATACTAGAGATCACCTCCAGGTTGATGGTTTCTTTTCCTTCTGAATCACATATGGTACTATTTGTTGTTATCATGTGAAAGATAAGATAGGGAGAATGGGCAGATAAAAATATATTGAAGCCCATGGATTATAGTTATGCAATACAACTTGAATTGAAAATGGACTGAAATACTGTTTCTGTAATAATGATACTTACCCTTTAATAAGAAACCTATTTGATCCACCCAGTCTCTGGCTTCAGCTGGACTAGAAGCTGTAAACTAGAGAAAAATTAGTGAATTAGTGTATCACTTCCACTAAAATTTCTGTGAATCCTTTAGGGAGGTTCAAGGGGAGGAATATTACGAGCTGAACTGCAGAGTCAAGTAGAAGGCTCAGAATTCTCATTAATTCTCAGATTCCTGAGAATTAACATTTAGAACAAAGATCAAAATCCCACTCAAAGTGATTTTTCTCCTTCAGTAACTTTGCATACCCAAAGTTGACAGCTGGATTTGAATCCAGATTTCATGTTCATGTGCATTCATTCATTTGATTACCCATTCATTCATCAGGCATTTATTGAGAACAGTTTACAGAGAAAAAGGCAAACCCAAATTCCTGACTTCAGATCAACATGTCAGTTTTGGAGACGGCACACACGTGACAAGGGACACTACGAAGCAACTGCGTTTGCAAACAGCTGGATGTTGAGAGAAGACAGGGAGCACATCATCACCCATGGTAAGCCAGGGAGGCTCACTGAAGTAACACTGTTTGGGTTGAATTTTTAAAGAGAGTTGGTGGAAACTGGTGGAGGGAGCTGAACATTTCAGGTAGGGAGAACCAGCCACCAAAGGTTAGAAAGAGACCATCAAATATAGGGAAGGTAGGCAGATCAGCTTGACTGGAGAACAGTAACAGATGAAGCTGGAGAACTGAGGGTCAAAGAAGAACTGATGAAAAAGCTTTGAGTATGAGGAATTCAGATTTCAAGGGCAGGCGGTACAGATGAAGCCACTGTAAATTCTAGCAAAAGGAGAGGGAGATTCTGTCAGTTGTGAGTAGGACAGACTGAAATAGGGAGAAATTAGAGACAGATCAACTGGAAGGCTACTTAACTAGTCCTCTGAATGAAGTGATAGGGACTTACCTATTGTGATGGCTGAAGAAATAAATCAGAAGGAAAAGACCCAAAGGATATTGTAGAAGAAGAATCCACAGACTATAGTAATGACTTGGATTCAATGGGCCAAAGAAAAGAAGTAAATAAACTCTACATCCTGATTCACAAACAGGCCAATCAAGTATCAGGCTTTAGTAATTTCTTATTTTAAATGAATCAACTTGAAATGACTGTTCCTGAAAAACATTTTTATTATCTGGTCATTAGGTAAGATAAAAACATGTGCTGTATAAGAAACCTAGATTCCTGCTTAAAACTTATTAATAAATATTGTCATTCTTGATTTCTTAAAAACACTTGTCTATAAAAATGACTAGGAAAATTGTTTTAGATATGTAAATTTTTATCTGGGCCTTGCAAATCCGAACTTACTAATAAAAATAGATTTATAAAAAAATTCATAGAAAAGTTTGGTTTAAATTAAAAAGTTTTTTTTTGAAATTACATAATTAAAACCTAGGTCATTTTTACAAAATAAGGGCTAGGATACTGTAGAAACATGAAAGGATGAGTGCTGAGAAAGACTTGAAGGGTCAAAGGGTTACATAAGTGGTTAACATTAACCTTAGCATGGCTTTTCTCTTTTTCTTAAGTTAGCTAAAGTTTTTCTAAATTGTTTTAGTAAAACTGTGATAAAAGTAGCCAACAAGGAGGAAACAATATGTGTATACACACACACAATATATGTATTCAATGTAAAAGTATATTTTTGGTGAAAAATCACTATATTCCCATATTCAGACTATTTTTGGCCTTTTAAATTTTATAATTCATTACCTATTATATAAAAATATATAAAAATGAACACAGTGAAGACTGTCTCTCTCACCCCCATTCAAGTCCTCTAGTTCCTTAGTAGTCACTATTATTACTCAGTACTCATTGCTTCTAGTATCTTAGAAATCTTTCCAGAGATATGCAGTGCATCTACACACAGGAAGATTATTTTGGATAGCAAGATGAATATGTGAAAACGAATTATTTCTTCACCGTACAGTCAGATTTCTCTTTTTCTGGATTTCATAAAAGGAAGTGAAGATAATCAGTTGAAAAAGAAAGACAGTGGAAATTAAAGCCAAGGAATTAGAGACTCTGAATAAAGAACTGGGTTGTGTGCTGCAATAGACAAGACTTTCACCTACAGAATGAGACTGAGAAGGGAAGGGATGAAGAGACAGAAGCCTGGCAAAGGCAGGATCTAGGATGAATGTGGCAATAGAAGGGTGGGCACGACACAGCGAAGGTGAGGACGTGTCAAGAAAGAAGGTCTTGGTAAGAAACGACAGGTGACAAAGGATGGCATCCAGCGTCACAACCACAGCTCACACGCACCAGGGAACGAAACTGCGACACTAATGAGGATCTCCATCTCCTCGGCTCATCCTACCTCATAGCTGCGCCTATCCTGGGAGGTCAGCTCAAAGCAGGATTCTTTCTTGGAATCTTTTCGCAGGTAGGGGGCCATCCGTACACTGTAGCCCTTAATGAGGAAGATCCCTTTGGGCTGCTTGCCTGCAAGACAGGAAAGCTTCCTTTATCTCTAGAGAGATGCAACCGCCAAGGGAGGGCATCTTCTCTGGATGTAAAATAGAAGCACAGAAACAGCTGTTACCTCCCTGAGGAACCACAATAGTCGAGGAAGGGTTATTAGAGAAGCTTAAGAAGAGGCTACTGTGACAGCCAGGCAGAGATCACTGCCAAGCTAGGGAATGCAACGTGAAAGATTATTTTGCCAAAAGAGTACAGCAGAGACAGAGAATTTATCAGAATGTTAAGAGATCTATAATGAGAGAAAGAAGAAATTATTACAGCGGGGAGAGTATGGCTGTACACACGAGGCTCTTGAAGTCTGTTATAGAGCTGAAACGTTATCATCAGGGCCAGCCGAGCATGTGCCAGGGGAGGGACAGCAGCCCAAGGGGCATCGTAAGTCCGGGTTCTCCTCCTACGTCCTGCATAGCATGTGGGCTAGACTTCTCTTCCTCTCCTGCTGGTCAGGTGGAAGCTCATGCTAGGGGAAGAGTAATTAAAACTCAGTGTTTTATCCCCCTTGCAAGCAGTCAGATTGGGAAGCAGCAGACTACTGTTGAGTGTCATTAGATGATGAGGAAGGGAGTATAAAAGGAAAAGGACCCTAAGTGTCACTCTCTTAAAAAAAAATTAGAAACAGAAAAAGAGGGGGTGGTTCCCAATGATTTTGTGTCCTTGTGGTGTGGTTCAGAACTTGTAGAAGAACAGAACCACAGTGTCTGAGTGATGCTTCCTGTCCTGTAGAATGAATTTCTTTCTTTGGGCCGCCCCTCACAGCATGTGGTTCCCTGACGAGGTTTTCAACCCATGCCCCCTTGCACTGGAAGTATGGAGTCTTGACCACGGGGCCACCAGGGAAGTCCCTAGAATGAATTACTTTTTGATGATGATGATGAGAGGGATGGCAGTGGGAAGAAAATAGTTACAGAAAAGTAAAAGAATCTGTCCTCACCTGGTTGAGCTAAAAGAAATACACAAACACTCTATACTTACTAAGAAAATGTCTTGGGCACAATAAGAAGTAACTGGCAAGAAGGGAGCCATGCAATAGTGCTTTTTGACACCAGAATCTTTTTTGTTAAAGTATCTCTCCTTGTTCTAACTGGCCACTAAAATGTTTTGTTGTTCTTTGGTCACCAGATTTTATTTCACTCTGATGGCAAAATGGTCAATAAAAGTCTCCAAGACTCTCGCTCTTGCTCTCCCTCCTCACCTTGAGTGGGAAGGATTCTGAATGAATGAACGTGATACCTGGTTTTATATCCAAATATACCAACCACATATTTAAATGTAAGGGAAATGATAAACATTTTACCAAGGACACATATGTTACATTAGTTTGAAGTTTCAAAATAAGAAAATAAAACCTGGCTGGCCTAGAATTCAGGGGAGAAACTTTAGTTGCTGGATTTGAGAGTGGGCTAGGGGCTGGAAGGATGCAGGGGGCTTATTATTCAGGTTTTGAGTTATGCTGCTATCATTTCCAAGTACACCTCACACTTTACCCATATATGGGAAAGGCTCTGAGGAATCGTGATGGTGAACCCAAGATGAAGGTTAGTGATAACTGTTTCAGGCAGAGAGGCAGAGTGAGGTAATTGCCTTGAAGCCCAAGATCTAATCTGTAGGATTCCACGTCACTTAGCAAAGCTGTTCTTTCTGCTACCTTTGAGCCAAAGGTGCTGGAAGTCCAAGGGCAACTCTGTAAGTATCTGACTATTCCCTTGACTAGCTATCCAGGCTTTGGGAGAGGAATAAGTCCAGGAAAGAAGAAAGAGAGGAGAAACAGAAAATTACTGAAAGGACAATAAAGGATTTACTTTGGATCAATGGCCTTTGTAAGGTGGTAGAACTCAAAGAAATCCAAGCAAGATTGCTACTTTATCTTCCTCTTGCATTGCAGCATTACTCCTGCGGCAGTCTATCTGGCAGGAATTCCCTATTTCAAAGTTTGCATTCACCAACAGTGATAACTTTTGGCTTGTAGTTATTTGTAGCTCCTCTGGTTTGTGCTTATATCCTCTATTCCTTCTCATGAACTAAGCAAGAGTGTTAAGCCAGGATGGGAGGTCTTTTAGGGATAGCTCATGAGTGTTGTGGTTGATTGAGTCAGTGGTGGCTCATAAGAAGCTGCTTCTGGCTTGGGTCAACACTTTGCTGCTGCTGCCATCTGGCTGAAGGGTGTCTCTCAGGCACAGCAACTCTTGGGGTCTCGACACTCCATGGCTCTAGGGATGTCCATTGGATTACATCCCAGGAGCCAGTAAGATAAAGTTTGAAGCATGCTCTTAGAGAGTTCGTACTCAAAGATTATATTTCTGGGCTGTTGGTAAGCTGCTAAAATCCTTCTCAGAATTATTATTTTTCAATATTTAACCTATATTATTAATGCCTATAAAGTGTTTGGGGTTCTTTTTTAACAAATGCCAAGGCATTTGACCTCGATGATATGTTATTAGTCATAAGGTAGCCTTTTGATATGCTGACCACACTACCCTAGTGCTTAAAGGGGCTATAATTTCTAAATTGGTATGAGTTTTTGGTGATGAGCAAGGTATTATTTAGCCAAGCTTCTTTCCCAAGCATGTCTCTATATGGGTGTTAGTTAAGGACTACTAAGTTTAAATCTAAGTGCTTGAGAATTTACGAAGTGCTTGCATCCAGGAGTGAGAAGCTGCTGTGCAAATGAAGAACACTTACTTTTCTCATTAGCATAGTAGTAGAAGAGGCCTCTGCTGACAACACACCATCGCTTCTGCCACTCTGATCCAAAGAAACTATGATCTAAACAGAGGAGCAGTAAGGGACATAAATTCAGGTAACTACAGTCACTGAAGAGTCCGTAAAATCCAACAACACACAGTCCAGTGTGTTATTGTTTTATTTTCCAGGTTAATGGACTGTAAAACCCTCCCTTTCACTCCCACAGGTTATCCCATATTGACTCAGAGTGCAGAGGACTCACTCAGTTAAAGGCCCAAGTTCTAAACAGGTTTTCCTTGCTCTGACCTCAGCTGTTTCTCTACATTTTCTTTATCTTTCAGGTTCTATTCTCATCCTGTAGTTATAAAATTCTCCACATCTCCAGATCTTTATGTGTCATTGCCTTTTCAGTTCAGTTCAGTCGCTCAGTTGTGTCTAACTCTTTGCGACCCCATGAACTGCAGCATGCCAGGCCTCCCTGTCCATCACCAACTCCCGGAGTCCACCCAAACCCATGTCCATGACACTCTAGGCCATGGGCATGAGCAAGGCTTTCTTTGTACTAAGCCAATATGCCTGAGTGTTAAACCTGGTACTCCAACCCTACTATCCTAATTAAAGAGTGAGAGCTGAAGATTCAGACTTGTCTGAAACTTGAAAGTGGGCTGCTCCACGTATGATATAAAAATTACACTTGAGGCAACACAGTTTCACTCTTTATGGGTGCACACTGAGAGATGAGAACAAGAATACAGTCATTCATTTATTCATTCAACAAGTAATTACTAAGCAGGTGTACCAGGTGAGCAAGACAAAAACCAATCCCTGTCCTGGTGAAGTGGAGATTTGGGGCCAGGTCTTTCCAGCCTACACACAGATACCAGACTTTTCTTTTTTTCCTTTCCTCTTACCTTATACCTGCCTAGTATAGTAGTGGGCATAGAGAATGCATTCCCTATGATGGCCCTCTTTTTCCTCATTTCCATTCTCTTTTTGGAATATTCTGAGATCTGGGGGTCTAATCAGTACCTTTGCTTTTCTTCTCTAAGTATCCTTGCTTGATGATATTATCAAGCTCTTGAGCTCCTCTTTCGATGTCTTCCATTCCTAAAAGGAATAAGAGCAAGATGTTTTGTTGAAATCTGACAGAATTTTCATTGATTTGGGCTACTTGAGATAATCTACATTAATGAAGAGATGCAGACAGGCTATTGCTTAAATATGATACAGAATAAAACAATTTCTAGATGACTGGAGGGGAGTAAATTTTCTTTCTTTCTAATTATATCTAATGCTGAGATTGCTTAAAATGTCTTAAACATAATATTAGTCTGTACAAGGGAGGTTGTTTAAATGTGCACTGATTGGTAAGAAAAAGGACTCCAAAAAACTAAGAATTTGCTTAACTAAACACACACTCACCTTTTTCTAACAAACAGAAAGTCACCTTAGTAAACATATTTTTATTAAGTTCACACAAAGAAAGCTAAGCATAGCTGAAATTGGCAATAATTGCCAAATCCCAGTTCTGTCAGTGTCAAGGGAAAAGTCTAGGAATGGAAGAAGCCTTTACACAGAGAAGATCTGGATCTGACATCAGCTTTTAATTGTATGCTGCTAACACTCTTGGCTTTCAATCAGCCTCGTTAGGTACAAATTTATTGAGAAGTCAAGATCCTAATTTGTCTTCCACCACTAGGGTTTATATTTATTTTACAGAAGGGAGGGGTAGAGGTCAGAGACAAAGAGGAAGGAATTTCGTTCTCAAAAAAATAAACAACAACAAAAACAATTAAAAACTCTGTACTTAATTAGGAGAAATGAAGGGAGTGGGCTAGCATAGTCCTAATATTCATTCTTTTTAGGTTTGGGGACTAAACCTTTTGCTTCTATGCTGTTTCCAGCTTAGTTTCAAAAATGTAGATCAGAAGAGCTTTTCTTTTTTAGCTGAGTGCCTGATTCTTTTTCCTATTTGTTCTTATTTTCAACTTCTTGTTCATGGGCTGTTTCCATTTGTGTGTTATGCAGTTAGCAAACTCTGTGGCTGCTATAAATCTCCTGGATGGGTCTCCGGGTGCACACATGAGACGAACAGCAGCAAAGGAAAGTTCATCTGTCTAGGATTCTTTCATTTCTCCAACCCTTCTGAAAATTCTAATATCTCTTTGAAAATGCTCTCCAAGAAAATAGAAACAGATCATACTGAGGGTGAGGACCTGGTACAGCTAAGAAGGCCCTTTGAAGGAGAACCTATACTCTCTGCCATGCTGTCAAAAAAAAATTGCTCCTAGAGATCTAAAAATTAAATGAAAGACACAAGGGATAAGAAAAACAGGATCCTTTAAGCCTGGAGTTTCCATCTTTTCTTCCCACCTTTTTTTCCCCCCTTTTTTTAAGGTTTTGTTAAACTTAGAGACACAGTTTCTTGTTAAAGATGCCGAGAGTCTGAATCATAAAAGACATGTTAAACGTTCTATTAGAATTCAAACCTCCTTTTTTAATGCAAATCTAAATGCCATTTTATGGAACATCTATAATTATGAAAATGGGAAGACATTGCCTCGTGTGCGGGGAGAGTCTGTGAGTATGAATATTACATTAATGGGCCCACACCAGCTCACTGATCCTGCTGGCAGGAGCATAAAAAATGCTTGAGTGAAACTTTTATTTAGATGTTAAGACTCCAGGCCCCAGCGGGGTGACAGAGACAGTCCCTGTGAGTTGCCATCCGAGAGAGAGCTTGAATTGAATTACCCAGGGGGGAAGGAAGTAGTGATGAGCACTGCTTCGCTTATTTAATTTCATTTACTTTCAGTACATTATCAGCATGAGGCTTTTCTCTCCCCACCAACTGAAACCCAAGAATGCCACCACCAAGAAAACAAAGACATAATGCAGCAGAGATGTTTGAATTCAAAGTCACTAATTTTAGGAGACTAGGGACAGCACCATCACTACCTTCTCACTCTAAAAGTCACACTTGGTTTGCTAAAATTAGGCACTGAATGAGTTGCTGAATTTCCTCTCTTGGTCATCCATCAACAAAATTCTGAATACGAAGAGAGCTGGAAATACAGTATTTTATATGCTGTGTTTTTGTAAGATGTGTTATGTTGCTTTCCTATCAGAGGGAATCTGTATTGATGAACTCTCTTCCCTGCATTCCCTTATGGGCAGTGGGAAAAAACGGGATTATAGGTGAAATTTGGAATGGCTAGGGAAAAAAATCAGATCAAATCAATTTTTATTCTGTTGATTGTCTTCTATGTCTAAGGCACTCTGTGATGAGTGCAATAACAGAATTGTTCTCAATGTAAAGTTGACTCTGAGCCCAATCTTATTACCTCCATGACCTATTAGATAAACCCAGATGGGATCCAGATCAATCTCAATCCAAGGTGAGAAGCCAATGTGGCAATCAAGTTCTCTCCCCTTTCAGTGTCAGCTCAGGGTCTCACTGATCAAGAAATGGTGGTCCTGAGGATATACACATTAACTCCAGTCTTGTGTGATGAGGCTGGAAGAGCCCTGTATGCCTGAATTCACAAGTGAACCGATATGCAGAGTTACTAAATATGTAATAGAAAGTATGTAGATGTTTTACAGGATGGTAATAAAAATATCATTTTTATTATCATAAAGTTGGAAGGAAGAGGCCACAAATAATTGCATGAGTTGCTATTTTAAGGCAAAACATTTAAGTATATAATTTAAAAAAAGAAATCAAGGCTTTTTGTCCACTACCTAAAAAAGATATCACCACCTTGATGGAAAAAAAAAAGAAATGATTTAGATTTATTGGGAATAAATTGCCCTTTGGATAAACCTAGGCGTGTATCACATTATATCAGCACAAAACAGAATTGCATTAGTGTCATAATCTCTCTCTACTACTGCACTTAACTAAATCTCTCAGAATAGCCCATATAAAGAAAAGATTCACTTAGCTGAAGGATGTGGGGCTATAAAGATAAGATCAACAGAGAAGAGTGTTACCCAGAAGTGATGGCCACCCAACTTTCATGACAGATGAAGATAAAAGAAATTCTCAGACATCTTTCTTTCCCCATCCAGATTCCTTTAAACCCTGGATCCCACCCATACCTCTTCTGCAGAGTAGAAGTCCATCTCTCAGCACTAAGCATGACTCCTTAGTTAGCCACGCACAGCAACAACAATGGGGGCCCTTTGGAGTGTGATACATTTCCATAAAGTAGTCAATAAAAAAGACACGGGAGCTTATGTGAGTCACGGCCTATTTAATCAGCTGCATTCTAGCCCACTGAGAAAAGAGAATTGGAGAAATCAGTTGGCAATACCACAGCACAAGGCTAATAGCACAAGAGGCCGCACAATTTCTATTGCAAAAAGGTTGCAGCTCTTGCAGAAAAAAACAGTCCCCACAAACTTTCATTATAGGTACTGGCTTGGTCTCTTGCCCAATCAACCTGAAATGAAAATCAATTATTTAAAAAATTCCATCTTTTGTTCAACATTCTCCTCTCCCTAAACTGGACTTCTATCCTCTCCTTTCCTTTTAATCCAAGTTCTTTTCAATTGTTTGAAAAAAGTGACCAAGTCAACTCCATCCTGGAGATGGATAGCTACCTGGGGTGAATTTCAGGCAGGATGAAGTTAACCAGTTTCTTTCATTAAAGTACCCATGATATAGGACCTGGGATTTTGGGGGATGAGGTTGGATAAAATCTAAAATTTGAAGGTTGGGAATGGTCAAGTTCCATTTGTGATTACAATTCACTCACAGATCACTGGTATGTGTGTGCATTTGCAAAATGACAAATATACTTCACAGTGTCTCAAATGGACAAAATCAAAGGGGATATTGCAGGTCAGGTAGGGTGGGAGGGATAGGAGTCTCCTGTCTGGTGGTTGTTAATCTCCATCATCACTTTGCAGACAAAGGTCTGTATAGTCAAACCTATGGTTTTTTCAGTAGTCACATATGGACCATACATGAGAGTTGGACCATAAAGAAGGCTGAGCACCAAAGAATTGATGCTTTTGAACTGTGGTGTTGGAGAAGACTCTTGAGAGTCCCTTGGACAGCAAAGAGATCAAACCAGCAATCTTAAGGGAAATCAACCCTGAATATACATTGGAAGGACTGACGCTGAAGCTGAAATTCCAATACTTTGGCCACCTGAGGCAAAGAGCCAACTCATTGGGAAAGACCCTGATACTGGGAATGATTGAGGGCTGGAGGAAAAGGGGGCAACAGAGGATGAGATGGTTATCGACTCAATGGACATGAGTTTGAGCCAACTCCGGGACACAGTGAAAGACAGAGAAGCCTGGCATGCTGCAGTCCATGGGGCCGCAAAGAGTTGGACATGACTGAGCAACTGAATAATCTGTTAGTTAAATCCTCTCCTTTGTTTCTGGTTTCTGAGTCCTTTTTATTAATAAGTTCATTACTATTTTTCTTAGCTTCTTGCATTTCTGGATTACTTTTTGCTTCTTTTCTCAATTTTCAGGAACCAGTCAATAAATGACAGTTTGAGGTGTTTGGCAGGAAGTGTTCATCTTCTACAAATGAAACAGGGACAACGGTTTCAATGATTCTTCCTTCATTAGTCCCCTGGGACAGGCTTACATAAGTCTTGATCTGCTATGGTTCCATTCAATATCCACTTGAGTTTACATTTATTTCTCACATTTTACAGTCTTTGTGCTTCGCTTATTAAGGAATATAGACTAACACATGTAAGGTGAAAAATTCTAAGCCATTAATAATAATAGACTTAGGATCTAAGAGTTTCAAAGACATGGAAGCCTTTAATCTCATGGAGAAAAAAACTGGATAGCAGATGAAAGGAAGGGATTGAACACAAAGTACTTAACCAAGTTCTTCAACAAACTGTGGCATAAACTAAGAAACAAAATAAGTGCAATTGGAGCTAGACTGAAGGACGTCAGAGAATGGTAGAAATCACACATATGGTTAAAACCAATGCAGGAGACAAATATTCAGGAGATCTTGATGGACCCTTGTTTCCCCTCCAGTATTTTAAGGTCTTTAAAAAAAATCTGTTAATCCAGGTAACAGACCAAACTGTGTAAAAATCTGTGGAAGAAATTCGTTACAC